TTGTGTCTGGCTCCAGCTCTGGTCCTGTCTCTCACCAGGGTTCTTCTGCTCTTCTTCTTCTGCAGCCTCTTTGTGTGTTAGGCTTTAATATTTGGTTAAGCTTAAAAATGAATCAGTACAAAAGTGTATGTTAATGCTGCCTCTCTTCTCCTGCTCCCTGAAGGACATTAGAATCATTGTAAGAATTAAGGTTGTGCAAAAATGTCAAAATATCAATATATCATGTCGTTTAATGTGATGATACAGTATCGATATCATGGGCTGCTGTATCGATATATCACCAAGACAATTTTTCTGTATATTTTACTCATTTATTTTGTTACAGCTACAGTTTTGTTGCTTGTTTAAAGGAAGCTTTCTGCTACACATTTGACATTTTCACTGTTCTGATGATGTTGTTCTGATGTTTGTGTTTCATATTGACTTTGCACAAAAAGTGATTTAACAAAGACTTTGAGTGTCACAGCCATGATTTAGCCTTTATTTTTTATTGATCCATATCAAACTGATTTGAAATATATCGTATTGAATCGAAAGTGCACTGTATCAAGATATGTATCGTATCAACAACTTCTGAATGATACTCAGCCCTAATAAGGATTAATGAAACAAAACAAAAAAAAGGATTTACAATTACTCACAGTTACTAAGACACAATTTTAAAATTGTGAACTCCTGCATTTACTTTTGCTCAAAGTTTACAGGATGCAGTGGGTCACAGATGAACCCCGTTTAATCCTGATCTGGACATAACTTTATGTGTAACACTTATTTGGTATAAACTGAATTAAAAACACTGATTTCTGCTTCTAAATGTTCACAGTTATCTTTTAAGACTGTGACAAGTCTGCTGTGCACTGCCAGCGGAAGCAATTAGGAATTATACTAAAAGTAGTATTGAAACTATACTCATTTGAGGGTATCGATACTAAAAACGTCTTTCCTGAATGTCTTTAGAATGATGTCGAGTTGTATCAGATCAAGTATAAGGACACATAGACTAATATACACACATGGACTCTATGGAACCTACTGCACCACTGAGGGATTACATAGATATAAGAAAGTACAAAAAGTATTACAGTTTAATGGTGAACCTCGCATTGTATTGTTTAAAGAAAGGATGAAAGAGAGGGATTTTTTATTTTCATCATGGTATTAGAAGCTGTATCGAGTATGGAGTCTATTGCACTGTACTGAAATCATTTGAAGTGTGTGTATCGTAACAGCACTTATACTTATAAACTCATGACTGTGAAGAATTATAAAGCATTGGACCATTGCAAACTGTTTCAAAAGAACCAGTTCTGTCTTTCAGGTTTTTAAGACAGTAAAACTCAGGTTAATTTGAACATCTTTCCCCACCTGTATATTCTGAATGTGTATCTAAATTTAACTCAAGTATAACCGAGGAAAAATTGACCTTTGTTTTTATTTTGAATTTCATCAAATCCTTCACTTCAATTAAATTTCTATTGTTATTTCATGGTTTTAGCCTCTTTCCCAATGTTATTATTCTTTTAGTAAGAGTTGCACATTTTGCCTGTACTGTCCCTTTAAGAGCAACGTGGTTTGCCGCTGCACATCTGCACCTCTCTCAGTTTGCCCAATGCTACTGAGGAGGTGAGCACAAGTTTTTTTTAATGTCAATATATTATTTTATTCTGATATTTAGGCACTAAAAATCTAAAAGTTCACAGTAAAACATCACAACATCATAATTTACAAATCCACATGTATAATTTGGACCATGTAGGAGCGGTTTCATGTCTGTATTGTTTAAGTTTATTGTAATCACATGTAGTTGAGAGCGAGCTTCAGCCTTTTCCATGTCTTTTCCTGCTAACAGGGGACAGATGACCTGCGTGCATGAGGTAACATGTGACAAGGATTTGTATTTTTCTTTCATTTGTGCAGAACCACCAGTAAAAGTGTATCCAGTGGTCACCGGTGTCTCATGGTCCTTCCTTGGCCCAGTGCAGGGCTCAAGAACACAACGCAGATATATACTAAGGGTTAAGGGGTGTGCCCCAAGATATTAGACTTTTAATGAACAGACACACACCCGTTACACAAGCTTTAGTGTAGATTCAGTGTGAGAGCTCCAATCGTGCTCTGAGCTCAGATAACACATGTTTAGTCTGGGCTGTTCCCTGCACTGTGATCTCTGCTGTAATAAATGACTCATTTAGAATCATGTTTATCAAACTTCCTCTGAGCGCTGCTGTTGTGACATTCCCATGAGAAAGTTGATCTGCAGATGATTATATTAAATGTATTTAGACTCAAAATGACACTCAAATCAGTGTTAAATGGGCTTGAACTGAAATGTCGAAAATCATAATACTTGAGCTGGAAGATGAATCGTAAGCAAATTGAAACTGAAATTTGAATGGATGTAATTAACAAATCACAAAAGATTTTGGTAATAATTAGAAAAAAACGTGTCCTTACAGTGAGCGGGCTTGCATCTCCACAAACCTGACTCTTATTTGGCCTGTTTGTTTCTATGGAAATGTTGTTCTTTTGGCTATAATCTTCTATCCACCTTGTGCCTCTGCTCAATTTCATTTCTCTCCAGCGACTAGGTCAGGAATCAGAATACACTCAGCAGTTTACAAAAAACCCGGAAGTGCGAGTTTGGACACCAGCCAATCAATGAAGAGCCATATATTCTGTGTTGTCAACAATTCCCAAGATTGAGAATTTAAGACAGAATAAAGAGAATGTTTGGTGAATTTCATCAAGGGGAAAGACGTTATTGTCCTTCTTCCTACATGATTTGGGAAAAGCTTAATATAGCAGTTAGTCCTGTTAGCGGCGCATTACATACGTCACGACCAAATAACAGCGATTGGTTAAATGATAAAAAATACCCGCCTGCCATCGAGCGAACGAAATTTAACACTGTGAGGTCTGACGGTTTCTACGAAGTGAAACCAGCTGATGAATCGGGCTTGTCGACAGCAGGGGTGGGACGAGACACAATTTTCACAAAACGAGACACACCACGAGATCAGGTCCACGAGAACGAGACAAGATGAGATTTTGACAGAATTTGTAATAAATAAGTTGCGCAATCTATTTCACTGTTTTTATTTCGTTTATGTAATACTTTAGTGGTTATTGTAGTCCTTCTTTCTGGAACTACAGCTTCTCAGCTCGTAACCCTTTTTTTTTTGTTTATCCATGTAATGATAAATTCAGGGGGGAAAAAAATCTCACAAGATAATTTTTCTCTTCTGTGCACAGTCTTGTCGCAATTTTGACTCGTGAGATCTTGTCCCATCCCTAAGACAGATTAATAATAAAGGAGTATTTAAACATGTGTCAGTGAAAAAAAACACAATTCCAGGTCTGTTTTTGATGAAGAAACAACATTATAACATAGATCAGAAAAGAGCCTCATTCTCTTTCCTTTCATTTCTCTCCAGCAACTAGATCAGGAATCAGAACAGTTTACAAAACCCCGGAAGTGCAAGTTCGGGCACCAGCCAATCAGTGAAGAGCCAGACATTCTGTGTTGTCAACGATTCCTGAGATCGAGGATTTAAAGCCAGAATAAAGAGAATGTTTGGTGAATTTCATCAAGGGCAAAGACGTTATTGTCCTCCTTCCTACGGGATTTGGGAAAAGCTTAATATACAAGTTAGCCCCGTTAGCAGTGCATTACATACGTTACAACCAAATAACAGCGACTGGTTAAATGATAAAAAGTACCCGTCTACTGTCGAGCGAACAAATTCTAACACTGCGAGGTCAGACGATTAATAATCTTCCACAGTATGACATAAAACTCATCAATCTCCACAGAGCATGTTCCAAAGTATGGCTTTAACTTTCTATTTCCACAGAATCATGCAGGTAATGTTACACCTCCACAAAGTTAACAAACTGTATCTTTAAGTCCCATCATTTCCTTCACAAACAACTAAAGCTCTTATCGTATTTTCCGGGCTATCAGACACGCTCTTAAGCCTCCAACCCCATCAAAAAATGACCCACAATCCAGAGCGCCCTATACATGACACACGGAGCAGAGAGCGACCGCACAGCGAAACACACCCACAGACACACTCATCACTCCACACCGACGAGGAACGGAACGGAGGAACGAACCGAAAAAGCGAGTGCAATGTGCCACTTCTAGACACAACTGAACAACTGAGTCACTGTGAACACGCCGACAATCCTGTTGGTCCCAGACACACCCTCCCTACACGCCACAACTGAACAAAGCCCAGAGTCACCGTGAACGCACCAAACAAACAAAACCACTCACCCATCACACTGTTGGGTTTCCTTTAAAGTCCAGTGCGGTTTATTTGTGAAAAAAGTTTAGAAAATAGACCATTTAATGACAGTGCGTCTTATAATCCAGAGCCCTCACCCTGTAGTTTAGATGTGTACAAACATGTTCTGAAATGTGATTCTTGTGTTACTTTGTCACTTTGAATACAATTCTACGGAAGCCCAGAGGGATCACAACAAACGCAAACGCCACAACAAATACAAATGCGACAACACAACAAAAAGCCACAACAAACCAAAAAAAGCCACAAAGGAAATGACCACAGGACTCTGTTTTAATGCAAACGCCGCAACAAATACAAATGCCACAACACAAACGCAAATGCCGGTCATTTCCGTTGTGGCTTTTTTTGGTTTGTTGTGGCTTTTTGTTGTGTTGTCGCATTTGTATTTGTTGCGGTGTTTGCGTTTGTTGTGACCCCTTTCGGCTTCCGTACAGCGCAATTTATTTGTGAAAAAAGTTTGAAAACCATTCAGTGACAGTGCGTCTTATAACCCAGAGCGCCTAATAGTGCGGAAAATACGGTATTCTGTATCAAAACTTCTCACCCGGTAGTTAGATGTGTTCTGAAATGTGATTCTTGTGTTACTTTGTCACTTTGAACACAATTCTATTATCAAATCATAAATCGCATCCTTCACTCATCTGCACTCACTGAGTTCTTCTTCTATAAAAAGGTGTACTGTACCGATCTTATGGACCTGCAGGTGGCGCTCTATCTCTCCGTGGGTGGGGCTTGTTCCCAGACAGCGCATGACGGTGATCAGGTCCTTCACCTCGATCTTCCCCTTCTGCTTCTTATCGTACAGAGAGAAGCACTCTTTGAATTCTGACACAGAGACAGAGAGAGAGAGACGGAGAGAAACAGAGAGAGAGAAACAGAGAGAGAGGGAGAGAGAGAGAGAGAGAGAGAGAGAGAGACAGAGAGAGAAACAGAGAGAGAGAAACAGAGAGGGAGGGAGAGACAGAGAGAAAGACAGAGAGAGAGGGAGGAGAGAGGGAGAGACAGAGAGAGAGACAGAGAGAGAGAGAGAAACAGAGAGAGAGGGAGGAGAGAGGGAGAGAGAGAGAGAGACAGAGAGAGAGAGAGACGGAGAGAAGACAGAGAGAGAGAACACAGAGAGAGAGGGAGAGACAGAGAGAGAGAGATGGAGAGAAACAGAGAGAGAGAAACAGAGACAGAGGGAGGAGAGAGGGAGAGACAGAGAGAAACAGAGAGAGAGAAAGAGGGAGAGGAGAGAGAGAGAGAGACAGAGAGAGAGAGAGAGAGAGAGAGAGAGAGAGAGAGAGAGAGAGAGAGAGACAGAGAGAAACAGAGAGAGAGAAAGAGAGAGAGAGGAAGAGAGAGAGAGACAAAGAGAGAGAGGGGGAGAGACAAACAGAGAGAGAGAGAGACAGAGAGAAAAATAAACAAAGAGAGGGGAGAGAGGAAGAGAGAGAGAGAGAGAAAGAAAGAAAGAAAGGAGAGAGGGGGAGAAAGAGACACAGATAGAGAGACAGAGAGAGACGGATAGAGAGAGGAGAAAGAAACAGAGAGAGAGAAAGCAGGAGAGGAAGAGAGAGAGAGACAGAGAGAGGAGAGAGAAACAGAGAGATGAGAGAGAGAGAGAGAGAGAGAGAGAGACAAAAAAAGAAACAAAGAGAGAGGAGAGAGGAAGAGAGGCAGAGAGACAGACAGAGGAAGAGGAAGAGAGAGAGAAATAAAGGAGAGAGGAGACAGAGGGGGTAAAGACACACACCGAGAGAGAGAGAGAGAGAGAGAGGAGAGAGGAAGAGAGACACACAGAGGAAGAGAACGAGAGAAACAAAGGAGAGAGAGGAGCAAGGAGAGGGGGGGGAAGGGGGGAGAAAGAGACACAGATAGAGAGAGAGAGAGAGAGAGAGAGAGAGAGAGAGAAACAGAGAGAGAGAAAGGGAGAGAGAGAGGGAGAGTAGAGAGAGGGAGGGAGAGGGAGAGAGATCAGGGAGAAAAGGAAAGAGACACAGAGAGAGAGAGAAAGAGAGAGGAGAGAGGAAGTGCGACGGAGAGGCAGAGAGACAGACACAGAGGAAGAGAAAGAGAGAGAGAGAGAAAGAAAGGAGAGAGAGGACAGAGAGAGGGAAAGACCCACACCGAGAAAGAGAGGAAGAGAGACAGACACAGAGGCAGAGAATGAGAAGAAAGAAAGGAGAGAGAGGAGACAGAGAGGGAAAGACACACACAGAGAGAGAGACAAAAAGACAGGAGGGAGGGAGAGAGACAGAAACAGAGAGACAAACAGAGAGAGAGGAAGAGAGAGAGAGAGACACAGAAAGAGAGGAGAGAGGGAGAGAGACACACAGACAGACAGAAGAGAGAGGGAGGAGACAGAGAGAGAGAGAGAGAGAGGGAAGAGGAGAGGTCAGTCACATTAAAGGCATCAAGATTTACAAACGAGAAATAAGTGACATTTTTGAGAAATTGCACTAAATTCTATGTCGTGTCTCAGACGTTCTGAAACCATCTCATTCCAGTCTTCTTAAACTACATCACACTTTCATTATTTTCTTATCAGCACAAACAAACATCCACAGATTCTTACCGTTGATCTGAACGGGAGTGAAGAACTTGGCCTGTAAAAGTGGACACACAAAACAAGATTAAAAAGTGTGAAATATGTAAAACTCTAGTGACCGTTTCAAATCCGCAATTCGATTCGTCAAATGCTTTTCTCCACGGAGATGTTATTGCTTTGTCTGGAATGTTTCACAGTATGGTATTCCACTTTTCTATTATCACGGAGACCAAATCAGACCAAGATACGGGTCAGATCTGTGGAGAGGCGACCCCGCTCACAGTCAGAATGTTGTTTTTCTGAGTATTTTTGAGCTATAAAACCACCTGTGATTGAATAAATGTAAAGTAGAACTGTTTAATGTCACACTGTGGAAGATTTGAGCAGAGCAAAGACATCTCCATAGAAACAAGCAGGTGATGGACCCAAACAAAAAGTGACATCGTCAGGCCACAAGACTTCAAACTCCTTCAATACATGCATTAAGAATCTCGGACTTCCAGTCATTGCTCAGTGCTACTGGGAAGGATTTTCCGAAAACATGAGCATCAGACCTCCATGTTTCATGTTTGTTTTCCCAGTGACGCTTCACATAAAAAATGTTCGCTGCAAACTCGAGATGATTTCTTAGACAGTGAAATGTTTCCTTTTTGGTTCTTCCTGTGGATCAGTCCTGCCCATCACCTTCACCTTTCACTATTTTTCAATTCCGTTGGGAAGAGAAACAGTTTGAACAGAGGTTTGAGTCACACACATCTGATTCCCTTTTGCATCTATGGAGTTCGCAAACAATTTTCTCGAGCAGTTTTCCGCTGTTAGGATCCAACAACCACACAATTAATGATGTCTGAATCCCAAAACTAAAATATGACAATATCAGAACCAGAAGCAAAAGTGATATGGTTCAAAAGACTAGAAAAGATCAACTCTGTTAACAGACGCATCCCACTGAGAAATGATGCTCACTTTTTCGGAAAATCCTTCCCAGTATGAACTGCGCAATGACCGGAAGTCTGAGATTCTTGATGCGTGTATAAATGAGCGACAAAAATGGCAGTGTCGCTTTACAATGCAGTGCTGGTTTTGGAAACTGGAGCACACAGAGTTAATCTACAGACACAGGCAGAACATGCAAACACAGCTCAGAAATGCCTCAGTCTGGGAATCAAACTCACAACCTTCTTACATGCAAAATTGACTGTTATAATCTTGTTCCCTCCTCAGAAACAGACCTGGAGTTGTGTTTTGTTTCATTCACATGTTTGAGTAACTTTATTATCAGTCTGTCTACATCTCCAAAGCTCAAAATGCTCTGTTCCACCTTGTGATGTCATCAGGCTGTAGTTTTCAAGTGAACAGCTCCTTTTACCTTCAGTTCAGTAGAGATTGGCAATTCTAGGCCTGAAATGATCCAAATGATTCTAGTGAAGGTGTGTGGAGTTTAAAAACACAGTGGAGCACTTCCTGTATTACCACATGTCATCACAAGGTTTAACACTCAAACACAGGGTAAATCCACAGAATGTGTGCGTTAAACATTTGTGAATGAAACAAAACACAAATCCAGGTCTGTTTAAATGACGATTACAATATAAACATTAAAATATTATAACATTATAAACAACATAAACCATAAATAGTGTAATCCTCTGTCTACTCTGCACATGAAACTTATCAATGTATAATAGAACTTTTGAGTGAGTGAGTGAGACTACAGAGAACAAATTATTTAATCTGAATTGAAGAATTAAATAATGATGATCACTTTATTTGAACACACCCTTGTATTCAGTTTGCTGTAAAACAGGGTTATACGAGCTCTAGGAGCTTGTAGTAATGATCAAATATCAGCCTAAAAATATCGGCAAAGTTTATCGGCCCTGCGTTTGTCTGGATACTACACAATTGGTATCGGCATCGCTCATGAAAAAAAAAAAAAACATATCTGCCAGTCTATAATTCTAACCTGCCTACTTTTGTTTTGCTTTCTCTCAACTATTGTCAATTTTTTTACTGCTGTTTAAATAATTGTGAGAATCTGACTGTATATTTACCCTCGTGTATCAGAGTCACACCTGTGCTCCTCCATGACAAAAATGTACACTGAAAAAAGTTTTACCAAATATTTTTTATGCAGTACACATTTTTTGTCCAACTTTTTATATCAGCGTTTTCATTTGGACTTCTGCTTTAATACTCATATGTCTTTCAAATATTGAACAGAAAAAAATATATTTTTTAAATACTCTAAAAGATACTAAAACAAAAAAACACAATGGAATATGAACGGAAGTCAATGGAACAAAAATGTGTGGGTGAGTATTTTGATTATGGACCATTCAGTTAATCTTGGGAAAAAAATATACACAAAAATCTAAAATACACCACAAACTACACAAACTGGCCAATTTTGGTGCTATTTGGTGTAATACAGCCAAAGTTATACTAAAAAGAAAAGTTTTGATGTACAAAAATGTACCGAGGCTGTAGGACGGTTAAGTCATACACACTATTTGACACAGTTGCTCCCACGGTAATAACTCATCACAATCCATCCAAACAAATAAACCTGTGCTCTTAACACAAAAATGTAATGACATCACATTTAATCCCATTTTAACACATATTTATGTAGAAGGACGTACAAACTCACCATAGCTGCGGTGCCGTCCTGTCTGTGCTCCAGGAAGTAGACCGTGCCTCACCTGTCCATCCAAAGTCCAGCTCGCGACAGCCTGCCTGTAATTTAACACGCGTCGCCATGGAAACACTGATACCAGAGCCGGAGGGCAGACACGCAATTACCCCCTTAAACACAGCACTTTCACTCCCCGGGGAACATCTCACCTGGACATGAGAAGACAGAGAGACGAGGGGAACAGTATCCAAACTATATCATCCTGACAGAACAGCACTAATACATTTTGATTAAAGTTAAAACCATAGTACAGACATGTCAAACTCAGGCCTGGGGGCCAAATTTGGCCCGCAATATAATTATATTTGGCCCACAAGATCATATCAAATAAGTATTAGAGCTGCCCACTGGCCACAGATAGACTATAGAGACATTATTTATTTAAAATGTTATTATTTTATATTAAGCATGTTCTGGATTCAGTGTTTAAGCAAAACTATTATTTATTTATTATGTATTTTAAGAAACAAGAAAATATTCAAAGAAAAGGTTTAACATTACATGCCGATGTTGTTGAAATATCTCAATAAATATTTAGTTTGGCCCACGACTTAGTCCCAGTTTTTCATTTTGGCCTCTGTGAATTTGAGTTTGACACTCCTGCCGTAGAAGGTCACTTTTTTTTTTGTCAGAAAATAACTATACCAGACTCGTCTGTGTCCTGGAGGAGGCCCCACCTGCTGCTTGTTTCCATGGAAATGTTGTTCCTTTGGCTATAATGTTACAAACTCTGGCCTAAGATTTGTCTGACTTTCGATTTCCATGGAATCATTCAGGTCCAGAAAGTTACATACTGCAGCTTTAATTTAAGACAACAAGAGAAAAACTGTATTAAACAAGAAACTAAAAAAAAAAATAAAAAATGAGTGGACTTTGCTGAAATAATAGAAGTCAAGTTAAAACTTCAAAAGGCCAATTGTTACTTCAAGATAATATTGTGATAGTATAGGCCTAATACTACTACTACAATACTACTATTACTACTACTACTACTGATGTCTAAAAAAGTCAAATAAGTGCCAGCCGGGTGTAAAAAAAAAAAAAAAAAAGAAAGAAACGTCAGAAGATGATTAAGTATTCCCCTCTAATGAGGTTTAGTCACTATATTTTATTCATGACTTCACAAAAGCAGAGAAACCTGAGACAAACCAGTAACTCAGTCATGTGCACAGAGCAGAGGACAAAACTACTACTACTAATACTACTAATACTGCTACCACTACTATGAACATAATAATACTAACCAAAAAACGAAAAGAAATGCATTTAATATGTCAACAAAATAAAATAAACAACGACTTCTGCTCTGTCCAATGGTCACGTCACAAAACCAGAAGCCGTTTGGAAACATGTGGATTATTTTAATTCATTAAAATAGATTTTGTATTCTTTCCTTTTTCCTTTTATCAATTGCCTATTAATTTGTGTATTATAATTTGCATAACTTCATTTTAAAAAGCTGTTTGTAAGCTGTGAATAGAGTCGCGTCCCTCATGGAAAGCTTTGTCAGGTTGTGAAGACGCTGCTGCTGAATCCACGGTTTTATCACATGCCCAGTGTCGGGAATTACACCGGAATTCATCATTCGCGTGTTTCCAAACGTCTTCTGGTAAGTGTGAACAGAACCTATAAACAGATTCTGTTCATGCAAATGTAAACTGTGAAAAAACACAACATTGTATTTACATGAGAGCAACGCATGACAGAAAATCCACATACATCTGTCATACTTTCGTCAGCAGTCTTAAAAGTCTCAATTTGACTTAACACATCAGTAAAAATAAAAACATGAGCTTGCAGTTTCTTAAAGCAGGGATCACAAGAACTCAGCCTAAATATGGAAGGTTTGTGCGAATGAAACATATGGACTACGAAAGCTTTCAGAAATATTCACATGCCTATTTGGGAAATCCATGCATATTTGTCTGTAGTTGAGCATAAAATAAATATCTGTAAACTCTCAAATGAGTCCACTCGAACATAAAATATTGTGAGTATTTTATCCATCAGAATACAAATTGAAAAGTTACGACACCAAGAATTACATTCACAAAATCAAAATGCACAATTATGTTTTCTTCAGTACCAATTCACAGACGCGACTCGACTGTCAAAAATACGTCATTATTTACTGAACAGAACAAACATCGATCAAGATGCCGAACTTTTGCGACGCATACGGACGGAACCATGACTGAACCAGGCATCTCGATCAATGTTTCTTCTGTTCAGTAAATAAGTTTGTGAAATGATGATGTATTTTTGACAGTAAAGTCACGTCTGTGAATTCATAATCATACTGAAGAAAGTGTAATTGTACATTTTCATTTGGTGATTGTAATTCTTGACATTGTAACTTACTCAGTTCGTATTCTGATAGATAAAATACACACAATATATTTGATGTACGACTGGACTCATTTAAGAGTTAACGAATATTTATTTTATGATCAACTACAGACAAATATGCACGGATTCCCCAAATATGCACACAAATATTTCTGAAAGTTTTCATACTCCATAGAAACAAAACATATCAGTGGATCTCTAATTCCAGCCAGCTTCCAACTTTGGTTTTGCTTTCTTTTAACTCCTTTTTACTGTTGTTTAATAAGTGTTGGCATATTTGACTGTCAGTGTTGGGAAGGTGACTTTTAAAATGTATTCTCCTACAGATTACAGATTACAGATTACATACACCAAAATGTAGTTTGTAACGAAATCCATTAAGTTACTTAAAGTGAGTAATGTAATCTGAATACTTTGGATTACTTGATTTGCTGTAGAGAAGCAAAGATGAGGATATTGTAACATAAGAAGTTTTGTTTGCTAAAAGAAAAGAAAATGCCCAGACTTTACTGAACCATATTAAAAATATTATTGATAGAAGACGAGGAGACACACCATGATTTAGTCCTGTTAAATCCTGCTTTAGACCTGGTTTAGACCTGGTTTTAAACCTGGTTTAGACCTGGTTTAGACCTGGTTTTAACCTGGTTTAAGACCTGGTTTTAAACCTGGTTTAGTCCTGGTTTAGACCTGGTTTAGACCTGGTTTTAAGACCTGGTTTAGACCTGGTTTAGACCTGGTTTAGACCTGGTTTTAGTCATGGTTTTAAACCTGGTTTAGCCCAAAATGTAAAAACAGGAAAATACCTCAGTGTAATCCACTTATTTCAACAAAGTAACTGTAATCCAATTACCACTAATTGAAACAGTAACTGTAACCGAATACAGTTACTCATAATTTGTACTCTGATTACGTAACTCCGGTACAGGTAATACTCCCCAACACTATTGACTGTTTAAGTCTTAAACCGGGAATGCTCACATTTTCTTTCCCCAACAGGTCAAAACAAACATGTCCTCTTCAGTCAGACTTCTGGTTAAATTCTCTTGTTCTTGTGGTTTTAAGGAGACTGACAGGCTTCGTCTCATTTACATCTTGTCTCATCTTTTCAATTCAAAACCGGATCAAAACAGACTGTCTTTACAGATCTCAGCTCTCTGTCACGGAGCAAACCAAACCCCTGGAGGGCCACATCCAGTCTGCAGGCCACACTTTAGTCACCCACCCCAGCCTTAAACTAAAAACTACAAACTTTACATGGTCACATGACAAGTACACAGTATAGTGAAGTGCATATGACAAGTTCGACTGTTCATTTCAATACACACACAGTTAAAATGATTATATGCAGCAAGACTAGACTAATATACTTCTTTTTTATTTTTATTTATTTTATTTTTAATTGTAACTTTTTATTTTGGTGGTTTATGATTTTCCTGGAGCAGATGTGACATTGCCCATGTAAAAACTGTTAGAAGCACACTGTAAACAAGCACAGAAGGCCAAAACTAATTAACCAATGATTATAATTGTTAGGATTAGAAATATTTATTTATATGATTAAGTAAATAAATAATAACACCTTTATTTTGTTAAATTAAGGGTTCAACAGTCGGAATTGTCTCTGCATTTTGGAGAGAATTGTGTGAGTTTCTGACAGACCAAAGTAGACAGGTAGAGGTATTCAGTTTTAGAACCCTGTTATTTTCTTATCAACTTTTTTTTTTTAATAAACTCTTTCTTAACTGATGTAAAACTATAATAAATAAATATTGAGCACAGGAACTATCCATCCAAACCAAGCAGTAAACAGACAAAACTTGAAAACCTGTCATATGCACTTAAAAAGTCAAACAGTGAGCTTTAAGTCATGTTCTAATGTTGTTCCCTCCTCATAAACAGACCTGGAGTCACTTTTTGTTTCAATCACATGTTTGAGTAACTCTTTATTTTTAGTCTGTCTACATCTCTAAACATCAAAATACTCTGTTCCACCTTGTGATGTCATGAAGTGGCAGTCTTCAAGTGAGCAGCTCCTTTTATCTTTAGTTCAGTACAGATTGGCAATTTCAAGGCTCAAATAATCCAAATGATTCTAGTGAAGGTGTCTGGAATTTAAAAACATAGTGGAGCACAAAGTGTATTACCACCAGTGTTGGGAGTAATGTGTTATAAAAGTAACGAATTACTGTAATGCATTGCTTTTTGCTGTAACGCAGTAATGTTCGGCATTACAGGGGAAAAAATTGTAATATTTTACTCGGTACAAATGTCAGTAAAGCGTGTTACAATGCTTTTTTAACCTGGATTGAAGTGGTGGGTTTTCCTTCGTACAAATTCACTAAAATCACCGCGATATCAGCAGCGGTGAAACGCCAGAGAGGCGCCCGCGTAGACCGTCAGGTGACCGCGGGGGAAGGGACCGACACAGAACTCCAGGCTGTTTAGACCTGGTTTAGACCTGGGTCAGTTCTGGTTTAGACCTGGTTTACAGTCGTCCCTCGCTCTATCGCGGTTCACTTTTCGCAGTCTCGCTGTTTCCCTGATTTATTTATTTTTTGTTCAGTTTTGCATGCCTTTTGTTTTTACAGTGTATGAATGTGTATTGCGTTCCTCCCGCTGCGTCCTAAGCGCGATCGGGCAACAGCCGCTCTTACCTCCGTGAAGTGCGGAGCAGAGCCGGTCCTTTCTCCTGTGGTCACCTTCGAGCCCGTCCCAACAGTGAGTCCTGTTTTAGTCCTAGTTTAGTCCTGGTTCAGTTCTCCTCTTCAATCCTGGAATCAGCCTGAGGTTAGTCCTGTTATAGTCCTGGTTCAGCTCTGGTTCAGTCCTGGTTTAGTCCTGGTTCAGTCCATATACGGTGCAAAAGTTCAGCAACTTCGCAGTTATTTTGGTGAGAGTAACTTAAAGTGCTGCAACAGTAATGTAACGCCTTACATTTTAAATGCAGTAATATTGTGATGTAACAAATTACTTGGAAATGACAGTAATAAGTAATAAATAACACATTACAGTTTTAAAGTAACTTGCCCAACAGTGATTTCCACATGACATCACAAGGTGGACGTGTGGAGTGTTTTCTGCTTGAGAGAAGAACTAAATATGCAGGATTTGTGTGTCAAAACAACAAAACACAACTATGTATATAAGGTGTGTTTGTGATGAGGAAACAACATGATAACACAGATCAGAAAATAGTGTAATATAAAAAATTCAATGTATAGAAAAGGACACAAACAAGAAAAATGTTATGTTATTGCTTTAAAAAAGTGTTCTAACAGTGATGTTCAGTAACATTGTTTCGCCTGTGATAGTTCGTCCCACACAGGAGCAGCAGCACAGTGCTTTAGTCCCAGAGGTCAAGTATCAAACAGTGCCCTCTGCTGGAGCGCCGCACGCCTACACTTGAACACACCACGTCAGAAACAACAGAGGACACCACAAACAATACACAAACAGTCAACAAGTTCAGCAAGAGTGCTTGTGTTTTTGTGATCTGTTAAATAAAGTTAAGTAAAGTTAAATTATTTATCATTCTCTTTTGTCTAAAAAAATACAGCTCAGTTTTGCCAGGACAATGGAACGTTTAGTCCGACCCCTGGACAAAATGCCGAGCTTTTACAGAGTGCTCCTTTAAATGGACAAATTACCACATTTTCCGGGCTATTAGTTGCTCTGGATTATAAGACGCACTGTCATTAAATGGTCTATTTTCAAACTTTTTTCACAAATAAACCGCACCAGACTTTAAAGGAAACCCAACAGTGTGATGGGTGAGTGGTTTTGTTTGTTTGTGGCGTTCACGGTGACTCTGGGCTTTGTTCAGTTGTGGCGTGTAGGGAGGGTGCTGTCTGGGACCACTGGATTGTCGGCGTGTTCACAGTGACTCAGTTGTTCAGTTGTGTCTAGAAGTGACACATTGCACTCGCTTTTTCGGTTCGTTCCTCCGTTCCGTTCCTCGTCGGCGTGGAGTGATGAGTGTGTCTGTGGGTGTGTTTCTCTGTGCGGTCGCTGTCTGCTCCGTGTGTGTTTGTGTGTTCTGCGGGTGGTGCGGCTTTGTAGTTTACTGAAGTCGTGCTGGGACACCCGAGTGGATTCGTGTATAGGGGCGCTCTGGATTGTGGGGCGCGCAGTCATTTTTTGATGGGGTTGGAGGCTTAAGAGTGCACCCAATAGCCCGGAAAATAAGGTATGCAACGTTTCTGTCTTGCATTTCAAAGACACAATATGGAGAATTTCTCATTGTTCAGAAAAGTAACATAGTGCATCTTTAAATAACAGGCACTTTGTTACCATCGCCTGCTCGTCTCCATGGCGATAGATCCATTTGATGCTATTGTATGGAGACAAGAAGACGGCGGTCGCTCCAGCACAAACATCACACAGTGCACATACATCAGTCAGGTGCATTCATCTGGAGGTCAACAGTTTCCATGGCAACACATTATAACACATTATATTGTTGTCCCAAAGAAAGAGCGTTACGTAATAATCAGGGTGAATTTGCTTTACCTTTAATTTCTTGAGCCATGATCTTGATTTTGAATTTCTTATTATTCTTATTCAAAATTATAGTTTAGTGCAGGGGTTTCAAACATACGGCCTGGGGGCCAGATCCGGTCCTCCAAGACCTTTAATCTGGCCCTCGGCTGATTTTCTACTAAAATATTTTAATTATATTTTAAAACCTGACAGATTTTGTCACTTTTCGCACCCCATTCACAATCAAAACTTCTAATGTGAATGACATTCTGAAGACAGCAGCTCCTCAGGACACGGTGCCTGATATTGATGCACTTGTGCAGGACAAAAGATGCCAAGTTTCAGGAGCAAAAACAAAGCAGGACTAAATTCGATGAAATGCAAACAAGTTCATGTTAAAACATTGTGTTGAAATTGCATTTTTCTTAAAGGTTGTTCATAATACTATAATATTTTGTAAAAGAAAGAGTTCATCAATTAAAAAAAGATTTCTGTAATAGATTTGTGTTTCTCTGCACAAATATTTGATCTTATTGCTCTTTTTGGGGTTTATGCCATGAGTTTTCTGATCCGGCCCCTTTTGGGATCAAAGTAGGTTGGATACGGCCCCCGGACCAAAATGACTGACACCCCTGGTTTAGTGAGTTTGTCCAGCACAGGTCTGACACTCGTCACACTGCACTCTCAGGATGTGGAGCCTACACACACACTGTCCCTCACGTCAGGACAGAGGGAGGACAATGGCTTTTCAGTGTTGGTCTCCTGCTGATGGGAACTCTCTACAGAAAACATTTGAACTCGAAAACCCTGTACCTCTGGATTATTTCAACAGAAAGCCCTGGAAATGCAATCACTGACCTGTCTCTCTTTTATATTTATACATCTGTTTTCTAAGAAATGTTTCGTTTGAAGGGTTGTGAGAATTGTGGATTCTTTTCACTGACTATGTGAAGTCGCTGAATCCTACGCGCATCATAGATTAAGAAAATTTAATTGGAAGAACAAAGTAAGTACAAAGCAGTGACAGTGCACCAATGGAGATGAAAACGAGAGTTGATCGGCAAAAGGCGTCTTGAAAATAAGGGATTAAAGATCACTTAAACATGCACGAATCACTCCAAATACAACTTCAGAGGGTCAATGAGAAGAAACAACTATAACATGGTTAAAAATCGATGTACAAAATGTAAATTTTGCAGTACTGTAAATTCCGTAATATAAGCCACTACTTTTTTCTCACACTTTGAATCCTGTGGCTAATAAAACGATGCGGCAAATATATGGACAGATTCTTTGTTTGCCACATTGTCCTTTCATACATACGGTCTACGGTTTGGCAACATAGTGGATATGCGCAGCCTGAGTGCAGAAAACGACACTGTCTGGGCGGGTAAAACACGAATCTAGAGTTAAAGGGACAGTTCTGAATTTTGGACATAGGACCTCATTTCCTAGTGAGCCGAAGTGTTGGAGACGTGTGGAGACACTTTTTGAAATAATCCATCCAGTCCTTGTATTTGCAGAGGTCACTGGTGCTAGACTAGTGCATGTCAATGGTCATAGTTCTCCTGCCACTAAAAACACTCCACAAAACACCTGAAACAAATCTATTATTACACTAGACTGTCCATGTGAATGTCTGTGTCAATAGAATCATTTTAGAAGTAAAACCAACTATGCATTTGAAGGATTTATGTCTGAGCAGCAGCAGCACAGTGTTGTACTTCCTGATAGAAAGCTCGGCAGAGGTGGACTGATATCACCAAGCTCCAACTGGCTCTGTAATAGTTTGTTTACCTGCAACTACCATAGCGACACAGAGAGCACAGAAGAAGCTTGGTCCAGATGTGGTCACATTCATGTCATCACAACTAACTAGGGCAGAGTAAAATTCTGCTGCTGCTGAGAAAATAGTCCCTCAACGTGCGACGATTCATGCGATACATTGTTAGTTCCATCTCGCACTCTGAGGACCTCAGGGACCGGCCTCCTGCTGGTGCCCAGAGTCAGGACTAAACAAGGGGAGTCAGCGGTTCAGGTTCATGCAGCTAAAACCTGGAACAGTCTGAACATGTGAGACAGACTCTTCTGTGACGCTGTTTAAATCCAGGCTCCAAACATTTCTGTTTGACTGTGCATATAACTGAAAGGTTTTCATTCCGCACTCTTCTCTCCAATTTATGTCTCTCTTTTTTTATTTTAATCTTCATGATTATTTATGTTTTGATTTGTTTTTATTATGATTTTAATACAATACAAATAAACTTGCCTTGCCTTGCCTTAGTTTTACTTCTAAAATTATTCTACTGACACAGACATTTACATGGACAGTCTGGTGTAATAATAGATTTGTTTCAGGTGTTTTGTGGAGTGGGTAAGACTGTTTTTAGTGGCAGGAGAACTATGGCCATTGACATGCACTAGTCTAGCACCAACAACCTCTCCAAATACAAGGACTTGATGGAATATTTCAAAAAGTGTCTCCACATGTCTCCAACACTCTGGCTCACTAGGAAATGGGACCCTATGTCCAAAATTCTGAACTGTCCCTTTAACATGAAGTTGTTACACTATCTCGTGATATTGTCAGCACACTCAAATAGTTTATCGCCGTTTGATAAATTAAGTTACAATGCTAAGTGAACATTAGTGAGGGGGATACGTCTTACCCATATGTGTAAATGACGAGAAGAAACGTCTCAAACTTCAGTAGCCGCACAACCACTCAGACCTGATTGACAGAACTAACCCCGTCCCAGAGAGAGTCTGAAATCTGCTGAAATCCTCCAAGACACTGACATGATACAAACAGAACAGAGACTCTTTCTGCAGGAGACATGCGCAGGGAGAGACGGGGTGATGCGCTGAGGAAGATGCTCGTTTGTTTGTGTTTTGAACTGTTATTTTGCGCTTCATACACACACCCTCCTCATGGAAAACACACTAAGAAATGCAGATGATGCAGCTTTTAAGTTAACGGCGATTGCTGTGACTGTGGAAGAAGGAAACAGAGCTGCTACATGTGAGCTCAGCATCAGTGAGTTGATGGTGAGACTTTGGCAACGGCAGTGTGACGAACTGACTCAAAGCAAAAAGACAACAAAAGTTTTCAGAGACGATAAAAGCAGACGGCCTGAACTTGAAAACGTTCTTAAAGACGTGGACTTGTATTCAGGTGCGGTCTATATATGTACAATTTTTTAAAATTTTGTTCAAATTTAGTTGTTCCGGCATATATTCAGGTGCGCCCAATAGTTCAGAAAATATGGTAGATCTGCTTTAGATAAAAATGATGTGATGTCACGTCCAGGTCCAAGCATCAGCTGATTGTGAACACAGCCTATTACATTTTCACGGTCATATCACGCAGCCCCACTCCACAAACCTGCACAGTGCATCGTTCAGTACCCTATCACCCGTTACCACCGGCTTTCCTCTAGCGCCCCCTGCTGTCAGTGTGTGTTCTTGATGTGCAGGGTGTAGTAGGACCAGGGCTCGGGCACATACACCAGACCCGGGTACTTGGCGCGGAGGGTGGGGTCGTCCCAGAGGAAGCCCACCCACAGTCCCACCAGGAGCAGCGCCAGGCCGAAGCTGAGCAGCAGGAACCGGCCGTTACTGTCCAGAGCCAGGCCGCGGCGCGTCTGCAGCACCCACACAGCGCCCATGCACCCAAGGGTGACGAGGAAGAGCTCCGTGATCTGACCCTCCGTCACCAAGTACCTGCAGGAAGAATAGAGAAAGATAACTGCTGAACTGGGCAGGACCTGGAGGAGTAAAGGGGAGAGCAAGGGGAGAGGGGAGGTGGGGTCTGGAGCCCCTGTAGTCAAGTGTTTAATCACAAATGCCTGGCTGTAATCAGGGCAGTCTCTTGTGATGTCACCAACAACTGGATATTGGGCACTGGATCCAGGACACGTCCATTATTAATACTTTTTTGATCACAAAGCTACAAATGTACCTAGTTTGCACTTAAAATTGCTAAAAATAAAAATAAAAAATGTCCATGAACAGTAGATAATGTGATTAAAACATCAGAACCAGTTTAGTAGTAAAAAGTTGATTTAGTGTTTAGTTCCACTTTCATAAGATTCCTGGTTGCACTGTCAAATCAGTATATTGTAATACCAGATTAAGTCATGTCATGTAACCTTTTCCCTGGTAAAAATCAAACTATCAGCAAAAATTGGACATTGTGGGAACCTGGCCTGACGTGGTCAAAGTAGGAGGCAGACTAAAAACAACAAACGTGTCTTTGACCAGACAAAAATATATTTAAACAGATTTTCCAATGTAACGTAAAATAAATTGATTATAAATAAACTGTTCAAACAAATAAACAGAAAATAAGTAACTTAAATCAAATACAACAAAATTATAACATGCACCCAGCTGCACAGAAAACCTGTTTGCTTTTATACCCCCAGCAGGAAGTACCTCCCCCAAGTAAGGACCAGTTCCTTTACGGGTAACTTTCAAAAGTTTAAAGCTAGGATTTTGTTTACATGGGTCTAAAATACCTGTTAAATCAAAGTGTTTACCATAAACTTAACAGTGTTATAATAAACTATAAAACCAAATACACAAAAACAATGAAAACAACTTAAACCAGTTCTCAGTATTGTGGTTCACTGATCACAATGTAAAATCACTATCATATTATGTCAGAATGAATTACTATATACCAGAAAAAGCATAGGATCTCTTCATTAAAGAGAGGGTCATGTAGCCTGTGAGCTTACTGTTCTTTACTGGAGTAAAAGTTACTGTAAAGCACAACTCAACCTGCACTAGCACTGACTCATGACTGCTGCAGGTGCTGGGGTTTACCTGGAGACCATTCTGGTTAGAGAGACACTTTAGGTTTAAACACACTGGATTTCAGCATTGAAACTTGCAACCCAAATGAGAGACTCGTGTGAGGCTCATTCTGCTTTCTGATTGGATAATTGTCTTGAGAACCAAAAAACCAAATCCATGCTTATGTCACAAACCAGGAAGACGTCTGGAAACATGCGATGACAACTTTCTTTGGGCTCTGCTCACGGTAAAAAGTCTGACAAAATGTAGGAAAAATGAGAAAATGTCCCAGTTTTCTCCACCTCCAAGTCATTGTAGTGTTCCGTTCTGTTCAGCAAATCAACAATTACAACCATCCCTCAGTTTTCATCATTTCCCCACTGACACAACTCCGAGTGCACTGGGTACATGCGAATCCGAATTCCAGATGATTCCAAACAGCACATCCATCTGCAGTCTTCATTTTACCACTGATCACATTTACTTCGGTGGGTTTGATCACAGTCTGTCAGTGAGCTCAGTGTCTGGAACTACACCGGAAGTTGTCATTGCATGTTTCCAAACGTCTTCTTGGTTTGTGACGTAAGCGTGAACAGAACCTATTATAACATAAACAGCTCCATTGTATCCAATACACGCATCAAGAATCTCGGACTTCCAGTCACTGCGCAATTCATACCGGGAAGGATTTTCTGAAAAAGTGAGCATCAAACCTCCATGTTTGTTTTCCCAGTGGGATGTGTCTATTGACAAAGCTGATCTTTCTCAAGTCTTTTTGAACCATATCACTTTTGTTTCTGGTTCTGATATTGTCATATTTTAGTTTCGTGATTCAGATATCGTTAATTGTGTGGTTGTTGGATGAAAAATAGTGAAAGGTGAAGGCGAAGGGCAGGATTGATCCACAGGAAGGACCAAAAAGGAAACATTTGGCTGCCTAAATCATCCCGAGTTTGCAGCGAACATTTTGTATGTGGAGCGACAACAAAGTGGGATCCTGTTTGTTAAGCGAGAGGTGCAGAAGACAAACAGACTGAGCTGCACTTTCTTGTTCTTGTAGTTTTACAGCAACATTGAGTCTTGGTCTCTTTGCAGTGGAAGGTGTTTCTTGGTGAACAGTTGGTGCCTTTCGCTTTGGCGTTGATTTTTTAAATCCGTAACCAAGGTGGAGCGAGAGATCGGGGTTTTATTTTGTCGTCGCTCCACATACAAAATGTTCTCTGTAAACTCGGGATGATTTCTTAGGCAGACAAAGGTTTCCTTTTTCATCCTTCCCGTGGATCAATCCTGCCAGTCACCTTCACCTTTCACTATTTTTCAATTCTGTTGGGAAGAGAAACAGTTTGAACAGAGGTTTGCAGTCACACACATCTGATTCACTTTTGCATTTATGAAGTTCGCAAACCAATTTCTTGAGACGTTTTCCGCTGTTGGGATCCAACAACCACACAATTACGATGTCCGAATTCCAAAACTAAAATATGACAATATCAGAACCAGAAACAAAAGTGATATGGTTCAAAAGACTTGAAAAGATCGACTTTGACAATAGACACATCCCACTGGGAAAACAAACATGGAGGTTTGATGCTCACTTTTTCAGAAAATCCTTCCCAGTATGAATTGCGCAATGACCGGAAGTCCGAGATTCTTGATGCGTGTATGCTTTTGTAATGAAGAATAAATCAGCATTACAAAATGTTACCAGGAAAATCTGTATTTGATTTGTTTATCTTGCATCTGGGGACATGCACAGTTAGGTCATGTTAATGAAATCTGAAAATGAAAACACTCTGCCCTTTCTCAATGAATATAGAACAGTTCAGTTCTCAATTTGAACCACTTCATTTGAATCTGTGTGATTGCTGCTTAAGAAGGCATAATCCTCCAGTATCATTTGTATTAGTCGTACCACTGCCAACACAGAGCACATACACCAGATTAGTGATGTGACTCGGGGGCAGGTCCTTCACTCTGTGTTTGTGAGGCCATCGGGCACAAAAACTTACCAAAGTCAAAGAAGTGGATTATTCTGTCTGAAGTGAACGCATCATCGCACCAGTCGATATAAACACACAAACAGCCACCTGCTCTGGACCATAATATTATGTCGTAAATGTGAAGTTTTGTCGCTGTTTGAGTTGTGAAACTGCAGCGCTGCCTTCTGTCCAATGTTTACTTTGGTGATAATAAAATCCGACTCACACGCTATGCACATTTTTATGAGTTAGTTTACAGGGCTGTCGGCATGTGCTCCCCCATACTGCTCAAACCAGTCCAAGAAACAGAGTAATAATGTATCCAGATGTAGTGGACATAGTAGTAAAAATACTAGGATCTGTGCTTTCTGTTTTAAAGAGGGGCTATTTTACTTCTCTGGGGGATTACCTGCTAACACATAACATATTTAGACCACCATGTTAACTTTTATTGTTTTGAAAAGGCTATATTCACATGAAAACAACATATTAACATGTTTTATAAGTTTCACTTTTGTTTTAGCAGCCCTCCCCTCGCTTCAGAGCGCTATCACAACACAATCGGTGTGCAACCCGCTAATGAAACTACTGCATATCACATCAGGTTTGTCAAGTTGCTGTGCACAGTTTTGTATCATGTTCTTATATATTTATGGAGAGTTGTCATGTGGGACCATGAGTGACACAGGCAGAGTCTTATAGCTAACCATAAGGAGGGTTCAAATAGGACTCAGGAGAGATCACTAGTTTACTGAAACATGCATGAATGAAATCTATTATCTCTTCAAGCATGTTTCTGATAAGAGAACAGCATTAAAATGAGGTAGAAAGCTAAATATCTATATATCTATATATCTCTCTCTCTCTATATATATATTCTTCTGCCTCCAGTTAAGTGTATATATATATATATATATATATATATATATATATATATATATATATATATATATATATATATATATATATATTGCATAATACCCCCTCTTTAAAGTGTATTTTCTAAAGATGATGAATAATTACGAGATATTTGATTGTGTTGTATTTAAGGTTGTCAAAAGTATTTAAAAAATCAGATACTAATTGATAAAACTAAAACTTGTATCGAAATTAGATACAGAGCAGGTATCGATACTAAAAAAGTTACATTCACAGGAATAAACAGCTTTAGAATGATGTAGAACTGTACGAGAACAAGTAGGAGAGTACATACATAGACTAGTATACGCACATGGACCACTATGGAACATGCACCACGAGTAGTAGTAGTGATGGGCCAAACGAATCAACACTCGTGTCAAGCTCAGCAAGTGACGCCTGTGTCGAGCTGTGTTTCTGTGTGTATCACTTTTAGAAAAGTCAAGTGACCAATACATCTACTGTGTCATTTGGTGTGGCTCGTGTCGGGAGCGCTGAGGCAGTTCTTTTAGAGTGAAGCATGTGAGGCTGAGTCTGTTCAACACCACAGAACCAGAGAAACAGAAGACAGGTCTATCTGTATGAGCTCTGTCTGTCACTACAGATTTACTGAAAGAACTATATTATGTTACTATTTTACTATCATTTTCATTAACCATCAGAAGTCGCTATAGAATGCACCACTACAGTGTTAAAAATGTGTTACACACACATTGAGGCCTCATCTACCCTTATATCAGTGGCACTGAGGGAGTACACAGATATAAGGCTTCATGTGAACAGAAAAGACAGTACTATGATTTAATGCTGAAAATCGCTTTCTGTTGTCTAAAGACGGGAGGAGCTCGGAGTAGAGCCGCTGCTCCTCCACGTCGAGAGGAGCCAGTTGAGGTGGCTCGGGCATCTGTTCCGGATGCCTCCTGGGCGCCTCCCTCGGGAGGTGTTCCGGGCATGTCCCGCCGGGAGGAGGCCCCGGGGAAGACCCAGGACACGCTGGAGGGACTATGTCTCTCGGCTGGCCTGGGAACGCCTCGGGGTCCCCCGGAGGAGCTGGAGGACGTGTCTGGGGTGAAGGAAGTCTGGGAGTCCCTGCTTAGGCTGCTCCCCCCGCGACCCGGCCCGGATAAGCGGACGAAAATGGATGGATGGATGGATGGATGTTGTCTAAAGAAAGTTTTTTAGTATGACAGTGGTATCAAAATTGGTTTTGAGTATCGAGTCAGACCTGAGTATCAAAATTGAGTTTGAAATAGTATCATGATAATACTACTCTTCTCTTTTAAAGTCAGTATTATGTATTTCTTACTAATTAATTGGGACTGGAACTGGATACAAGCAGATGAGCCCACCAAGTTACAATCCAATCCCAAACATGTTGGAATGCGTCTCTTTCTGGGTATTTTTAAGGCATATATAAACACCTATAACTGAATGAATGCAAGAAAGATCAGTTTAATGCCATACTGTGGAATGCTGCAGGCAAAGCAATAATATCTCCATGGTGACAAGCCAGTGACCTTATTACTACATATTGTTTTTTGTTACTTCATTTTCCCTGGGTAAGTCGGAACAGAGTTGATACTTTGCAGTAACATCACGCTGAGGTTGTTCTACATCTATGTCTACTGGCAGAATGTTCAACAGTTACTATGGTGACATGATGCAATAAATGTAAATGAAAAAAAAAAAATGATGCAAAAAATGTAAATGTAAAAAAAAAAAATGTAATGGTGATCAGCCCGAGCGTCCATGGTCCTTTTTAGGTGTTTGATTTTAATCTGTGACCAACTGAAAAACTGCTAGAAAAAACTTTGTGTGAGCGAGTTGTTTAAGCATGGAATGTTGCCTGACAGCTGCAAAGTATCAGCAGAGTTTGTACATTTATCAGGACTATGAGCAGACACTGACCAGTAGTAGAGGGCACTGGGCCCCAGCAGCAGCCACCCGGACACTGGGAGCGTCTGCTCTTTGGCCTGGCTAAAGCATCCACAGAAGTAGATGAGCAGGATGATGAAGAACGGAATATACCTGGAACACAGACACAAGAACAGATGTACAGAGTAGTCAGGCTGGGATCAGTGTTGTTTTGTTTTTTTAAAGAGAGCATAGGCAGGGGTCTTTAACCTTTTGCCTTTGGTGAGCTACCTTTACAAAAATGAAAATGCCAGAGAGCTATTAATTCGACATAAGAGGGCAAGTCTTAGATCAGATGTGGGCAATTCTTTTCACTATGAGGCCACATGAAAAACTGAAAATATTGTGGAGGCCAAAATGCTTAAGTTCTGCATAATATTAAATTTAATTTCTGTATAAAAAGCAGTAAATATCATTGTTTTGATGCACTGGTCAGACTGGGAAGAGTTTGTGTTCTGACTAAGTAATAGAAAAGTGATGTTGCCTTACAAAAAATTTCATTTAAAAAACACCTGTAAAATAAAAGCAATGCAGCTTTAGTATGCATGAGGTCAAATGATAAAATATGTTTATTTTGTAATTTGTGTGTACAATCCTTCAGTCGTCCAGGTAGAATCGATAGCAAAAGAAGAAATTCAATTTGTCAACTGGACAAACAAAACAAAAGTTTATTTATTATTAAGTTAAATAAACTTTTGTCCAGTTGGCAAATTGAATCTCTTCTTTTGCCTTATTTTGTAATTCGAAATGATCTTAAAAGGCCGATCAGATTCAACTAAAGGGCAGTATGTGGCCCTGGAGCTGGACAGTGTCCAGGTCTGTGTGAGATGGTACAGTAACAGCCTATAAAACATAAAATAATTATACATTTATTTGTACACAAAGTGCAAAATAACACATTGACAAAGATAATTAATCAAATTTGAGTTATTCAGTACAATACGTATAATTCAAAAATACCTTCGTGAGCTACTTATAAGGGCGTGAAGAGCTACTGGTAGCTCCCCAAACTACAGTTTGGAGGCACTTGGCATAGAGTTTATATATAAGTGTATATATAAGTGGACATAGCTAACACGGTAGCCGCTGTGTTCCAACTACAACATGAGCATGGTGACACTTCTGGGTCCAGTGATTCTGGCTCTAATTCACTTTGTATTGAGGAAATGTGAGCCCTCGCTCTGTAACTGCTGCTGTCAAGGCTCCACATTTTGGTCTTAAAATGTTAATCCTAACCTGCTCTGCATGATCCTGGTGTTTTTATGTCACTATTTTGACCTTAAATCAATTACTATTCGCTCCAATAACCACTTCCCTCATGCGCTATGGGTGATGTTACACTCCCTTAGTCCAGTTCATCTTCATACTGTCTTTCATACAGAGGGATATCAGTCTGGTCACTTCTCCCTCAGTCGTGCCTTGAGTCGCTCACACACGGCCATCCAGTCAGATTTGTTATTTGTATGATCAGATTTGAGCCAAAGTGGGTTGAAGGGTGACAGATGGTTGGCTAATTGTTATTCAGTGGGATTTTCATGGTTAAAGGGAATGTTTAATAAGACATCATGCTCCTATTCTGACATGCATTAAAACTGGATTGTTGTTTGAAGCCCTGGCAACATGGCTGAGACTGATATGTGTAAAAATAAAACCTAAATTGGTTGGTGATTGATTAAACGGGTAACTTCTATGACCAATTTTAGATACTAACTAACTACTAATGCTTCTCATGTTTTTTAACACAGTTACATTTAGAAAAGGATCTACTGGGACGATCGTGTATTTGAAAGTAAAGTAGTTCCAGTATTATAGTTGTTGTTTGTTTAGTGTGATAGGTCTAGTAGAACAGCCAGACTGGCGCCACCCAGTGCCTCTGCTCAATTTCATTTCTCTCCAGCAACTAGGTCAGAAATTAGAATAAATTAGACGGTTTGCAAAAACCCCGGAAGTGCGAGTTCAGGCACCAGCCAGTCAGTGCAGAGCCATACATTCAGTGTTGTCAACGATTCCTGAGATCGAGGATTTAAAGCCGGAATAAAGAAAATGTTTGGTGAATTTTATCAAGGGGAAAGACGTTATTGTCCTGCTTCCTACGGGATTTGGGAAAAGCTTAATATAGCAGTTAGCCCCTTTAGTGGAGCATTACATACGTCACGACCAAATAGCAGCGATTGGTTAAATGATAAAAAGCACCCATCTACCGTCGAGCGAACGAATTCTAACACTGCAAGGTCAGACGGTTTCTTTGAAGTGAAACGAAGTGAAACCTGCTGATGAATCAGTTTAGTAGTAGTATCCATCTGCAGTGATATTTGAAAGACAATGTACTGTTTTGTCATATTGTCAGAAGTCAATAAAGTAACCAAATCAAGTAGAAGCAGTGGTCAAAGAAATGATTCAAGTAAGACTAAAAAAGTATTTTTGAAAAGTGCTATTAGATAGTAAGTATTGAGACGTAACATCTAATTTATAATTTCAACTTCAAACATTGAAGGTGCACTGTTTTGGTTGGTTGTTCGTCACCGGCTTGGATATGTTATTGCTCTATCTGGAATGTTCCACAGTATGACATTAAACAGGTCTACCTTACATTCATTAAAATACAGGGGGTTTCACAGCTTCAAAATACCTAGATAATCTCCATGAAGACAGAAATACAGGGTGTCCCAAAAAATGTTACATCATTTTGCAGGCCAGTACTTTTGGCAAAATTTTCACAGAATCTATAGAAACAGATCAAGATTTTATATTTAATGTTTTATTTTTGTTCTGTTTTCAGGTTGAGCGATGCCGTTCACTCCCAAAAAGAATTTGCTCAACCTTGTCTTCTGATGTTGACGGTAATTGGTCACATTTTTCTATAGTGCTTTTCCACCTTTGAGGCACTCAGAGCTCTTTACAACCAGGAACACTTACCCATTGACACACCAGAGTACACAGACACCAGAGGCGAGGTGGGTTATGTGTCTTGTCCAAGGACACAACGACAGCATTCATCTGTGGGAGCTGGAATCACACCAGCAAACCAGTGGGTCAGTGGTTCTGAGCGCTTAACCAATGATGTTTATAACAGGAGTTAATATTTGAACCACCAACCTTCCTTCAGATTAGTGGGCGAATGCTCTACCATAGGGGTCTCCAACCTGCAGATGGGAAGCTACCAACAACCCAAAACATGCTACAGGTCTCCAGAACAGTTGATAGTCAAGGTCAATTAAATACAATCAATTCAATCATTGTGTGTCCTTAGGCAAGACACTTCACCCACATGGCCTAGTATGAAAGTGGTGTGTGTGTGAGTGATGGTGGTGGTCAGAGGGACCGATGGCGCCGATTGACATGGCAGCCGCACTTCTGTCAGTCTGCCCCAGGGCAGCTGTGGCTACAATAGTAGTTTACCATCACCAGGTATAGAGTGAATGAATGAATGCTGAATGAATAATGCTGAATAATGCTGTGTAAAGCGTCTTTGGGGACAGAAAATGTCTGTGAAAAGCGCTATATAAATAAAGACTTACTTACTTACTTACCATCAGCTCTCCACCTCCTTCCAAGTAACTCGCCAAGGGATTTCTGAATTATACATATTGCGTTGAATAACTTATATAAATTTGATTGATTAAATGCCTATTTCTTTTGCAAATGTATACTTTTGATGCCTAATTTTGTGCACTGATAACTGGATAATGAGTTTTTATGTTTTATAGATATCTAACAGTATCTCATCTTCAGCTTACCATGGCTCTTATATTTACAAAATTTCTGGCAGCCAATAAAATAGTAGATCTCTGACATTTTTGTTTTACAGAAAGTAGCTCACTGGAGGAAAAAAGTTGGAGACCCCTGCTCTACCAACTGAGCTACTGCCGGCTCTACCAGATCCTTCAGCCCTATATAAGCAATCTTTAAATTTTTGGTACCAAGTCAAAAAATTTTTGCCAGTTGGTGAAGTTTTTCCAAAGTTTTACATTGAAGGCTGCACAGCCTTGGGGGAGTGTGTGCGAGCAGCTTCCAAGACACAAAATGACTTCTCTGTGGGAGTGAACGGTCTGGTTAAACCTGAAAACAGACAAAAGTGACAGCAAGTGGTCCAAAGCAAGAAAAATATCTGATGAAGGCTTCTTTTTTTTTTTTTGCCAAAACATTATTTTGAAAATAAAAAAGCTTTTGGACATCGGCCATCTGAGTGCACTATGCATTTTTTCACTTTTGTCTGGCTACTCCTTGCATTTGCACCGCTACAAGAATTTTGGTGTGCGTTTTCTGTCTCTTTTGATAAACTTGAAAACAGAACAAAAGTAAAACATTAAATATAAAATCTTGATCTGTTTTTATACATTCTGTGAAAATGTGAGGTTATTTCAACAAGAATTGCCAAAATTAATGGCCTATGAAATGATGTCAGATTTTTGGGACACCCTGTATTTAATGGCATACTAGGATTCATTTCATATTGTCAACATAAAGCTTTTGTCACTTCTAGACTTTTACTCAAGTAAGTGCTGTTATTTTATTTAAGTATCCTGCTAGAAAAGTACTCAAATCAGTGTAACTGAGTACTACCCACCTCCACATATTGTTCAATCTCACTTTCCAAGAATTATGAGCATCAAGGCTAAAAGCTGCACTCAGACCTCCTTTTCAATTCAAACAAAGCCGTCCTCCATCCTACTTATCTACAGCAGCATCAGCTCACAGTGGGGACAGACTGACCCACAACTCACAATACATCCATCTGGTTTCATCATCTGCACTCACGTCTTCTATCTCCAGCACTATAAACACACTCAGAGAACTCAAGATGTTGTACTAAATAGCTACAGACTAAGGGAGTGTGATGTCGCAGTTCTAGGGTTATGGGGCGAATTTAGAGTCGAGTTCCATATGGAATTCTGCCAAGCAACCAAATAGCTAATCCGGCCAGACTGTTGAAGGTAACACCAGTGGTTCAGCAGGGATTGGGCACTTAGCAACGATGTCAATCAAACCTTTTGCCAACACAAGCAGGAGTAATCTCAGGGAAAGAATGTGCCTGATTGGTCCATTTTTAATGTTCATATCTTGAGTTACGAACAAAATAGCAGAATAAAAACACCAGGATCATGTAGTGTGGGTTAATACGAACATTTTAAAACCAAAATGACGAGACCCACCGCAGCGGTTACAAAGAGAGAGGAGGTGGTTTTCCAATAGCATGAAATTGATGGAGTCAGAAGTGCACCCATTCTCATTGCCTATTTGGCATGTAGTCGTTGGCAGGTTAGCCATGCCCATTTCTGCTTTTTGTTTTTATCTGGTCACATGTGTTTTATTCATTTAAACACAAATACAGAGGAGCTTCCTATGCTTTTTATAATAATTTCACATATTCAAGCACTCTTGACATAGCACAAGGCTGTATATATTTTGTGGATTCATTTTTATAGAATATGAAAATACAGGATATAGAAGAAGGCAACATTTTGAGTAAACATTTTCACTTTCTTGCTTTGGCAATATTGTAGAAAATCCCTGATCCAGACCTGGACTAGACCTGATTTAGTCCTAGTTTGTAGATTGTTAGATTATTGTTTTTATACCTCGCTCAGGTCAAATGTAATCCTGTTTTAGATCTGATTAATTTATTCCCGCCTTGTTACTCATTTGAATCTACTGTATACATGATTTAAGGTTTTTTGTTCTGGTTTCAGTACTGGTTTAGTTAGGGTGACCGTATCTCCGTTTGTGAAAACCCAGACACCTTATAGGGGGTGGGGCCTCGACATTGAGCTACTCTCACCTCGCAACCTGTGCACATGGCCTCCCACTTGTCCCGACTGGGCTGGAAACCGGAGAATTTCTTATACAAGTCATTGTTAAATGCACTTTTACGCTTTGGCATGTTGCAGACTGACCGACTGTTTGTGTCTGCTTGCTCCTTCTGAGTGCGCAGAGAGTAGCTCTCTGACGCTCAGTTTAATGCCCCCAATGAACGGTAACCTAGACATTCCCATCACTTTAAAAAAAAACTCGGACCTCCAGGACAGGACGCAAAAAACGGACATGTCCGGGGAAAAACGGACATGTCCGGGGAAAAACGGACGATTGGTCACCCTAGGTTTAGTCCAACAATAGACTACGTTATACCTAATTCAGTCCGGATGTAGGCATAGCTTAGAACTGGATTATTCATATTTCCGTTCTGGGTAAATCACGGGTTAGCCATGCCCATTTCTATATACAGTCTATGGTTAAAATCTACTTATATTTCAAATGTGGATGGCAGGGGCCTATGTAACTACAGGAGATTCACTGTTTTTGAAAGAAAACTCCAAACTCTCCACAAATGTTGAAACTTCTCATTGTTTAATTCTACAGTATAGTCTACTTATCTTCTGCAAGCATGCAGCTCTACCAGGCCAAGTTACAGGTCAGATCTATGGAGAGGTGACGCCGCTCACAGATACAAGAATGTATCTTTATCTTTATCAAGATTTTTGATAGCTTAATAGATAGATAGCAGTTCAATGCCATACTGTGGAACATTCCAGGGAAAACAATAGCTCGTCCGTGAAGAAAAGCAGGTGACAGACCCATCAGCAGAAAAGATACATGGTGCAGCTGTAAAGAGGGAGTATTACACTTCTATGGGGTATTGACAATGAACACATAACATATTTACATCACCATGTTTGTATTTGTATGTATTTATTTATTTATTTATGGGAAAATGCATATTAAAAGACAAGATAATGTAAGAGACAAACATGGACTTGTAAATATGCAGGATTGTAGCCAAAGCTCATTTCCATCTTTAGTCCCCTGCTGGACCAAGGCCAGCTGCATCACCCGCGCAATTCAGAAAACATGACAAAAGCCTAGAATACCCGCTCCTACATGCATCTCTCACTAATGCACTGTAAAACACACTCACCCAACATTAGGATTCAAATGTATGGGTCAGACATACACTCTCATTACTTACACATGCACAGCACTAACATCTGTTTACAGATCTATACACAAATCAGATTCCAGTCCCCGATTTTTACTGTTTTGAAAATGCTATATTTGTCAAAAACAACATATTATTTTCCCCAGGAGAGATCACTAGATTACTCAAACATGCATGGATGAAATGTAAAACCTCTACCGGCGTGTTTTTGATGAGGGAACAGCATTATATCATGGTAGCCTTTAATAATTTGACTCAATGTATGCATATAGATGTGTGCTGCTGGGGTTACTGAAGAACACCTGTACAATATTCTTCATTAGAATTCGATGTCGATATGTTCCTGACTGAGATCACAATAAGAGGAAGTATCATTTGTATTCATCCAATGGCAATAAACGTCTGTATAAAAGTGCCATTGGTGTAGAGCTCAGTGAATGCATTGTGAGCGTGGCGGTTAAGGCTAATCTTTTGAATTATTAAACTGTATTAACCCTGAGACATGAGAGGCTCCGCGTTCATAATGATTTTTCTGTATCACAGCCACTCGAGCAGGAATCAATGAAGTATTCAAGGACTTAAGGGGAGCTGTTCGCAAGTCACTGTGTAATATGGTGCCTCGTAGGGTTAGACTGGATTTATTCAAGAGCAATCTACGCCCTTACTCAAGGACAGAAGAGTGGCACTTGCCAACTAGTCCAAAGGTTGTTGGTTCAAAACTCATTACCAGCATTGCCCAGTGTCATTATATCCTTCAGCAAAATACTTCCTCTGAGCTTGACTAGTTGTGCTGATAAAATGATGTCTCTGTAATTATCTGTGTAATCCCTCAGTCATCCAGGTATGATCCTTTTTTTTTTCTTTGCTATTCTTTTGTTCTCTATAATTGGTTACCTCTGTGTCTGTTAGTCCTGCCTCTTCATATTCAAATCAGGCAGTACCTCTGACTGTCATTTAATCCAAGATGCCACTGGCACAGAAAAGCAAAACATCAACAACTATAGAGTTAGCAAAGGTGTGATACATGGATTTAACACATTTTTCAATAACTCAAGCCTCAATAACAACTGGACTGTTTGCCAACTTGTATTTACAGGAATCACATTTGGGTCGCCAGTTTCAATGCATATATACAGTTGGTTTAAAACTAAAATGCCTCTCTCTGATATGAACAGTCTCTTCCTAAAGTCCAGCACCTGCACCAGTCATGAGTCAGTGCTGGTGCAGCCTCTGCAGCTCAGGGAGGGAATTCTGGAGTTTCTGAGCTTCACATGACACCTGTCCACATACTGAGACTGACACAAACTTGGATGTGTCTCTATCTGCAGCTTAAGGCTCTAGAGACACAGCTTCAGTTACAACTGCAGTCAATTTTTTCATTTTAATTTTTTATTTTTGTTTGCGCAAGGTCCAATTGTAAGAATATGTACAAGTGCATGTCTGGGACCATTTTTGTGCTCAGAAGGAGGAGGTTGGAGTTTAAAAAACGTATCGTGTCCTACCCCAATTGTTTTACCTTAACATGTGGTTGATACATACATACATACATACATACATACATACACACATACACACATACACACATACACACATACACACACACACACACCCCCACATATACACACATACATACATATAGACATACACACACACACACACACACATATACATACACACACCTACCTACATACATACATACATACATACATACATACACACACACACACACACACATACACACAGCCAGCCACCCACATACACCCACATACACATACATACACACACATACACACATACACACACACACGCACACACACACACACACACACACATACATACATACATAATGCAAAAAGACATATATACATACAACCACAAATATATTTTCATTTGTGAGAATTATTTTTTTTGGTTGTTTCTTTTTTTTTACATTTATGAAGTCCAGTGCAGTCTAGTTTAGTATAACAACAAGAATGCAGGCTACTACAGTTCCAAAGAATTGGATAGAAATCTTTATAGGTAGAACTTTGCAGTCTCAGAATCAGATTTACTTTTATTTTCTTCTTCATCCATTAAGGGGGAATAGTTTAGGTTACACACATGCAGCCAACCGTGTATGTATCATAAAATAGAGCTGGGTGTAAAAAGAATTCCACACACCATTAATAAGCACATTGTGGACGTGCACCTTCAGATTTGTGGGATATTTCAGACACTAGGATTGCAATGCCACTCCTGAGACTAATGACCGGTGCACATGGAGAGAGGCTGGACTCCTGGCCTGCGTAATTGCACTGTGCTTCCATATGACACCTGTGTGTGTGTGCGTGCATGTGTGTGTGTGTGAGTGTATCCATACCACATGAGGTGTCCAAGCTGCTCGTCGTAATAGTAGAGCAGCTCAAAGGAATCGATCTGAGGAGAGACACAGTGAGTCATGCACAGCAGTGCTATTCCACATTCTTCAGGCTTCTGTAAGACCTCTGAGTTATGCATTTATATATAGGTCTGGCCAATATGGGGATAAATCCAATCACGAACTCATCACTGTGACAATGTGTTATTTTGGTCTTATCATTGTATTTGGATTCTATATTTCTCTATTTAATGCAGCAGTCTGCTCAAATGCACATGCTTGTATTCACAGTCATGGTCCTACCTGCTCGTCATGCCCAGCCCTGTCTGATCTCAGAAGCTCAGCAGGGCCGGGCCGGGCTAGTACATGGATGGGAGACTGCTGGGAATAACAGGTACCACAGTGGGGCTAGGCCTGTCACGGTAATTACTATATCGACTTATTGATCACTATACGAAAGCTGGAAATCATATATTCTGGTGCTCAATATTTCTTGTGTGTACAATTTGTTTGCAATAATGGGGAGATGTTTTCCATTCTTATGTAATAATATAAGATTTGAGCAGTAGAGGTTGGAGCAAATAACGTCTGTGGCTAAGTGGTTCCTTCTGCTATTTATCTGTTCAATGGAATTCTCCTGCTTTGAGTCAGCAGCATAAAGTAATTTCGATATTAACGTTTAACAATATTTCTCTGTAGTGATATACTGTACTTCACAATAGCTGTTTTCAGGCCGGTCAGAACGGTGCTGGTGTCGGTTCCCGTACTAGTTCCACTGGGAACCAAAGTGCTCACTGGTGAACGACCCGCGTTCATACTATTTATGGGAGCCCATGACGCGTCATCGTCAGAGGGTGTGGATTTACCACCAAATAAAAACAAGGCCATATGAAAATGGATGTCACAGAGAGGAAAATAACTATCATGGATTTCATCATCAACACCAGCATTTGGACTTATACAAGTCATTCTTTATGTGCACCAAGCTCTGCAACAACATCAATCTGCTGTGGAGAAGACGGCACCGACGCCGAATACAAAGATGTAATCTTATCAGGCAAACACAGATACATGCAAAACAAACGGTACGTAATAGTTTTTGTAGACTTAAACTTTTAATTTAATACGTGATAGTTTCAGTTGCTCTTTGTTTGTTTATTTTACCGCGTATGAGCTGGATGAACATGCTGATGAACATGTCTTCTGTGTCGTCACGGTTCGCTTAGAAAAAACAAGTTTTACTTGGTTCCTGTTGGGAACCAACTTTTTGGTTCCTGAACGCTCTGATTTCCGGCGTGAACATGTGAGTTGGTTCAAGATTAGGTGCGGGAACCGGAACCGGCACAGTTCTCTGTCGGCCTGAAAACGCCTAATGTGTCACTGTGACAGGTCTGTGACAGGTGGGGCAGCAGTGTCAAAATGCTGTGTCCTTTGGCAAGTCACTTCACCCACCTTGGCTAGTATAAATGTGGCGTGTGAGTGTAGGTGGTGGTCGCAGGGACTGATGGTGCAGATTAGCAGTCTCTCTTCAGTCTGCCCCAGGGCAGAGTGTGGAGTGAATGAATACTGGAGCATAAGTGGTATATAAATCATGCATTATAATTATTCTGTTTCCTCTCCCATTAGTCCCATTAGCCTCTAGGCTCTGACTGAGTGACAGCTGGATTTAAGCACTACATTACACATTTAATCACACTGAAGTGTGAACTCCAGAAGAAGCTGGTGTTTTTTTACTTCTTAAAGGCAATAGAGAAATATGAAGTGTAAATGAATTGTGATAAACTCATCATGATCTGGCTCCAGGAAAATCATGGTATTCATTTTAGCCATACTGCCCTTGCTTTTGGATTTTTGTGGTGAAATATGAAGAGCCATGTTTTTCAAACATCAAGTTCCACAATAACCAGATATTACTTGTTACTGGGAGTCCCTGCTCAGACTGCTGCTCCTGTGACCTGGCCCCGGATAAGCACAAGAAAATGGATGGATGTTAATGCTCCTGTTGAATGGTTTACACTGCACTTATGCTCTGTCTGTTTTCTCCTGCGTCTCTTCTGCAAAGAACAAAATATCCTGTATTTTTATAAAAAATAATCTATAGATTTAAAAAAAAAACTGTTAATGCTCCTGTTGAGTGGTTTGCACTGCACTTACATTGTGTCTGTTTTCCCCTGCGTCTCTTTACTCGAGGCTGCCACAGAGACCGGCAGAGGTCATTTTGAAAGACCACTCCCATCCTCTTAATAACGAGTTTCAACTAGACCAGTCACCATAATGACTATCGCTCAATAGATGATGGATGGAACAACAGTTTTTGAGACGTTAATATTATTGCAGTACTTTTTCTTTACACTGGGGGTGTATTTTTGTGATTTTTTTTATACATCAATAAAATTTGAGCCGTAGATGGCTGAATGCAATATCTTCTATGGCTCATTAGAGAGACAAAATAACTCCTAAAGTGTTGAATTCGGCTGTATATTTATTAGTTTGCGTTTTCACCCCATTTAGAAGAGTTTTTTGTTGTCCTACTTCAGGGTAATGTGTCATTTGTTTCAGTATAATTGTTTATCATGGATATTTTCTTCAGTGATATATCATACTTCAATATCAGTTATTGTGACAGGCCTAGTTTCAGCTGCTATATTATTCCTAGTTTGAGTTTTGTTCGCCTGCACTATGCGCTGTGGTCTCTTCTCCAGATGCAGATGTGTATGAATGTGTATGTGAATGAATGAGCCTGCTCACTGATAACAAAAATGACCTGTCCTGTAGCAATAAAGTCATCTTGAACCTTGATGTGCACTTTGAACACAATCCTCATTTTGAAACCTACCCGACAATTTGCTCCTATCTTCCCTATTGTGTTATATAAGATGCATTCTGGTGTTCTGATAATACAACTTGTCTTATTTACATAGAGCTGTGACTAAAAATAGCTGTGTTACCTTGGCCCGGATGTGTCAAGTGATGTTTTACTGTCAGCAGTGTGATGATGTCAGAATGGAGCAGTGAATGCAGAGGTACAGACTCTTGTGGAGGCCCCTCACAGCAGGAGCACGTGGGAAACATCTGAAGCTGCTTGGAGAAGTGTATGAATCCTGACAGCAGATATAAACTAACTCTATCTCTGTATCTATATGAATGATGATATAAATCTGATATTCTTCTAACCGTCCTGCATTAACCGTGACAGGTTAATGCAGTTAGTAAATATTAGATTGATGTGATGATAAATCATGTCGTTTGACAATATCTGTGTGATACTGCAGACTGAACAGATACACAAGAATGTGTCACTAGTTTGGAAAAAGGAAGAGGTGTATTTTTAGATGGTAGATTTATACTTATAATTGAAGATTGACAGGAGACAATATTCAATACTAATCCTGAATTGTGCCAATCAGAACATCAGATAAAGATAAAACATAAAACTGGCATTATAAAAAGTCACCATAACAAATGTAAAAAATGTATTTCCTTCAACTGTCTCATATATCATGGGTATGATATTAGACTTAAATCTCAGTACTGCAGTAGTGTGTACTCTTAAATGGTGGACATCTCTATTTGACTGATTAATAAATGAGCCTTTCTACAAAGCGCATTGCAAATTTCACATATTACATAAATATAAATGTTTATCTGACACATCCAAGCAGTATTATACATTAATAATTACTGTTACCCATATTGGGTTTACATTAGAATAGCCTAGATCAGGGATGGCCAAACTATAGCTCAGTGGCCAGTTGTGGCCCTCACACCAAATGCTGAATTGTCTCAACTGATCATAGGCACCACTTGCTAGTACTACAAAAGTAAGTAAATCTACCACTACTCAATCAAATGCCTCATTTTGTTTTGTGATACATGTGTAAAACGTGTGTTCCAAGAACTGGTGGCTCTAACAAATCTGTGTCAAATGAACAGATCCACTGTATTAAGCTCCGGTCTGTGGCCCTCTGCTTCAAACATGTTTAGGTGAAAAAGACACACTTTATTTATAGTCCTGTTGTCTTGTATTTAACCTCCTGCTTGTGCAAACTCACAGGGCCATGTCTGTTTCCTCACAAATCTGGCCACACTGATGCTAAAGTGAAAAAGAGTCCTTTGCTGACATTAAAAAGATATAACTCGTGATCCTTCATGTGTGCACTTTTCACATGTCATAGTCTTGTGGGTTTAGATGCAGCATCTCTGTAAAACTGTATGTCCTTCTCAATAGAGACTAAACCAACTCTAGTCACAAGTCACTACTGCCACCTGCTGTTCACGGGAGGAAACTGAATTGTGGGAAACTCAAAATCTGTCCATTTCTCTGATATCTCAACACAATTAAATCATGAAATCCACCGCAGTAAAAGTCACTGAATTGGTTAAACTGCATTCATCTTTTAAAAATGATCATGAATTCCATTGGTATTGTGTTACTGTAAAAGCTACAATTATATTATTATGTATTTAATTAGGAGATACATCTGCTACACATTTCAGAATTTCAGGAAGGGAGTTGATTGTTAGTCTGGCCTCGCCTTTAGTTCATGTATGACCGACCACTGCTTAATTCAGTTTTTTGCTGCTCAGATCAACAGTGCAGTGCAGCCCTGCGAGTGAATGTCAAACTGAATCAAATGCAAACTAGGGTTCTTGTCATTCATAATTCCTAAGTGTGTCTGTGTGTGTGTGCGTGAGTGTGCATCTGTGTGCATGTGTGTGTGCATGTGTGTGCATCTGTGTGCATGTGTGTGTGCATGTGTGTGTGCGTGCGTGTGCATGTGTGTGCATGTGTGTGTGCATGTGTGTGCATGTGTGTGCATGTGTGTGTGTATGTGTGTGTGCAAGTGTGTATGTGTGCGTTGGTACCAGAGAGGCAGGCTTGAGGTCCTTGATGATGGGGTTGTCTCTCACTGATAGGTGGAGCTGGTATCCGCTCAGCAGGAGGCGGTGGTTGATGGAGTCTCCCACTAGGTGGATGCTGGCGCCCATGACGAAGGTGATAATGCAGAGGTAGACTGCAGAGCGCGGCACAGTCTGCGGGCTGCGCTCTATCAGCTGTTAGAAACATATGTTTACACATAAAGAGGAACACTGTGTTCTGTACAAGTGAGGAGGCATCACAGCAGGACGTCCGCTCACTCAGGTGTAAATATATTCATTATGTAATGCAAAGTATAACTTTACTTCACTGCTTCGTAGGACAAAGCTGTTACTGCACAGAATCCGTGCATAATGACTGGCTTATTAATATCAAATGTATTTTTTTAAAACAGTAGTGGAATTCACATATTATCAGTGTGCTGGACTGGTCGCCCTGGGTCATCATGGAGTAGTGATGAGACTACTGTAAAGAGCTTGAGGAGCAGTGCTTGACGAGTTTGTATCCCAGTTTTGTTCTTTTAGTCTAGTTCTTGTCCTGGACTAGTCCAGTTTAGTTAATGTTTGAAAAGGCACACTATGTCACTTTTCTTGCTGCTTGTCTCCATGGAGATTCAGGAGTTTCAAGGTAATACTATCTTGAAAAAACATGTATTCTGAAACATGGCCTGGTGCTGTCACCTGCTGTCTCTATGGAGATAGATTAGTTTAATCCCATACAGTGAAATATTAAAGGCAAAGGCAATAGCATCTCACATCTCAAACAGGTGGCGGACCCTACACTTGTACTTGGTGCTTTGTACTGTTGGTTTTTGCATGTTTTGTACTCTGCATGGTGTATGTTTGTTTCTGTTAGTCCAAGATAACAAGGACTGAGCTGGCAGTGAAACAACTGGCCTTTTAGCTCTGGGAACAGAGGTCTGGCCCCAGTGGACCTTTCACAGCTGTCATTGTGTTAGAGGTCTGTGGGAGGGAGTCATTCAAATCCATCGCTGTGACCCATCTTTGACCTGACTTACTGCTTATTAATGCTTATTAAATTGTTGGTTTAACTTTTATATTTTTGTAATTTGTATACATTTTTAGGTAACATTTTGAGATTTTCTAAACTGTTAATAGCTGTTTGTGGTGAAAACAAAAAATTGTGAATTGAGAAAGAATTTTACTGCCAGCTCAGTTATTTTGGCCTAAATCATGTACAATACTCCCTACAACAGAAGCATGGCCGGACTGGACAGTACTGAACAGAATGAATAACATTATCATAGTGTCTTCACGGTTCATGTTTCCAGGTCAATATACTTTAATATATTCTACAACATTTATTTTTTTACAGGTGTTTTTCAACCTCGAGTTCTATTTGTCCTTTACCTTGAGCATAATGAAGGGAGTCAGAACATTGTAGGCCATGTGAAAATAGTCCCCCGCACTGGGCTTGTTCAGTGGGAACCACTCCAGTGGAAGGATGATCTAAAACAACACAAACACATCTCTGAGCATCCTTTATCAAATTATAACATCACTCACCAGATTTTAACACCCCATTTCAAACAGCACGGTGTTGTGATTGTGAGAGGCCATTACCATGACTATAGGCCTTCCAAAGTCCAGAATCCAGTTCTGCAGGGTCAGGCCCATCCACAGGTCCAGGTGGAAGTGCTTTCTCCTCGGTGGTGAGTGATCCTTCAGAGCAGACGGAGAACTGGAAAAGACATTTACAGAGACACCGTGACTGTTAAACAATCAACAGAGATCAACATCAGGATCATTTTTCTGTTTGGTTTGGATGAATGAATAAACAAGAGGAAATTACTACTTAAATCATACTAATTAGGAAAGCGCTAAATCAATACCAATATCGAATACTGGGGACGATACTGATACATTTACAGGATCGGATATCAGCTTCCAGTATCGAACCAATAATGATGGATCGGTGCATCCATAATACTAATCCTAATTAATCTAATAATAATTTCAAGGTACACTGTCAAACTTCCTCGACATACATCACCTGCATGATTCTACGGAAATATCAGGAAGCTACGGTCCATTCCAATCAGAACCTCTCGCTACAAGAACACCTGTCAATCTATAACACCTGTCAATCTATAACACCTGCCACTCTATAACACCTGTCACTTTATAACACCTGTCACTCTATAACACCTGTCACTCTATAACACCTGTCACTCTATAACACCTGTCACTCTATAACACCTGTGGGACGAGACAGAATTTTCACAAGACTAGACACGATGCAGTACCTAATTTTGACCATACCATTTTTGATTTACTCTATTTCATACTTTTACTGTCATCATATTTTATTAATTTTTTTATTTTGTTTCATTCATTTAAGATGGATATCAAATAATGATGTTAGATACATCAATGTGAATTGAATGAAAAAGAAAAGAAGTATAAAGTCAAGTCTGCCTCCTTTAAACACAATGGTTCCAACTACATGAATCTGTAACAGCTACATTTAAAAGCCACTTATTTAAGTAATTACACTAAGAACTCATTACCACAAAAGGACAAATACACTGCCATCTTTTTTTCTTTTTGGAACCACAGTGTCTTTTTTTCACAGGTAGATGGCAGATATAAAACCTGCCCCCCCTTCCCTGTCCTGGCCACTCCCACATACCTGACATTAGTAAGGTGTCACTTTCAGGTACCAACATCAGCCTTCCCAAAAATGGCACATGAAACACTCCAGAGACACACACCAGAAACAGACTCTTTTAACACTCAGGACAATCAACAATCAAGAGATTTCCCTAGATAACATCTCTTCTTCCCAAGATGATGTTAACCAAACAGAGAAGGAGATAAATATCATGCAGGTAACTTGGACTCAAATGCAACACATGTACACCGGCAAACAAAGTCTTATTTAAATAACTGAAAGTGTCCTATAACAGGAAATGTTTATAATGGCAACTCAAACTGGAAATACAACAGAGGAATATATGATATTAAGTGTGAATGAAAATATCTTCCAAGACTGGGAATACACTAGTAAAAAACAGACTGGGAGTAAACTCAGGAACAAACTCAGGGACAACAAACAGGGAAACACAGAATTGCAGAAGAAGCAAACAGATCAGCTTCAGGGGTTATGATTCAGGGTTTTCAGGAGCTTGAGTGTCTGTCTTAACAGGTTGACAATCTGGCAAAGACTGAGGGAGCAGAGGGAGTATATATAGACTGGGCCTGGGCTGATTACAGAATGAGGGGTAGCTGTAGGGAAAGGAGGGAGGTGGCAAAACGAGGACCGGAACAGACTGAGAAAAGGAACTGGATTGGGGAAAACAAGTAAACAAAAAAGGACTGTGACAATAAAATCACCATCAGTGGACCGTTATCCGCAGCTTTTCACAGATGTGTTGCCAATGTTGGCCGCAATGGGTTTGGTGGATAATAGGACCCAGGAAGAAACAGCTGAAGCAATCCGGACAACACTCAACAGGAACTGACCTGAAAGATCTAGTGGAAATTGAAAAGTGTTGTCCAAAATAGAGGAAGAGGACCAGTCGCTATTGGAAACTGAAGAAACATCTAAATTTCCACAACATATTCATTCAGCTACAGTAATCCAACACCAGTCTCCTGATGTCACTAAATTACAGCTCGACACAAATGATGAGCCCAAGCAGGATGTGGTCCGCTTCAGTGAATTTACAAGTGCTGCACACAGAATTTCTGTTCAAGTTGGTCTTCACTGGGGTCATTAAGGAGAACAATGGCATCATAGTGTAATGTGAACCAGATTTCTGGTCTTCTGTCAGGTCACTATCAGACTGCACTAGTGTAGATAGCATCTAGCGGTGATGTGTGAGAATACAACAGGAGTGGGTAACGGCCGCTTTAACACTTTTCATGTCTCATCCAAATGTAATTGAACATAGAAGAACTATCTCACAGGATAATTTTCCTCCTCTGTGCACAATCTTCTAGCAATTTTGTCTGCTGTGACACCAGATCTTGTCCCATCCCTAGTCACTCTATAACACCTGCCACTTTACAACACCTGCCACTTAACAACACCTGCCACTTTACACACGTCACTGTCACTTTAAATAACTGTAATTAATCTACATGACAGCCTCCACTGACACGGACAAAAACAACATATATTCTGACTGATTCTAAAATAGAAAGTTAAAACCGTACATCAGAACATTCTCCATGGAGAGAGATGTTTTATGCCATAATGTGTATATTATGTTATATTATAGCCAAAGGAACAACATTTCCATGGAAACAAGCACAAGGAGGCCCTCCTCCAAGACAGGTTTGTGGAGATGCAAGTGCACTCTTCAAACATCTTGTTCTAAAATACACTAGTGCTTGTGATTTATTCTCTCTAGTTTTGACATAATTGGTTGAAAGTTGGTGCCTATCATAAAAGCAAAGTGCCGTGTACAACGAGCCTATAAAAAAACTACCAAAACAGTATTTTTCCTGTCCTCGTGGTCTTTTCTGTCTATTTATGAACAGTGTTTGCTGAGTTTGCAGCTGTAGATAAGACTCTATTCAACACATGTGTACATTCATTGTGCAATTTCCCCCTGCTCTGTGTGGACAATATAACAAAAAGAAGAATACCTCTAAAAGTCCCAGCGGAAATTCTATTGGCAAACTGTTTGATAAGTTGTTCCAAAGACATGTCAAGATTGGTCCAAAATCCAAGGTGTGATGGAAGACTCATATCTAACTAAATCCTCCTGTGCTTGCATTATGTTTGCTGGAAGGTACACATAGAATTGGTGATTGTACTGTGTGCATATGTGTGTACAAAATGATCTCGCGAGATTTTATCCTCTGTGGATACGTTTGACACGGGCATGAAAGGGTTACGTGTGCTCAGGCTCTGGAAAGTTGAGTATATTTGAGCAGCTGGAGCTAAAAGATTCCTCCACACACAGAGACTTGTAATTCACATATTCAGACAGAGAGCACTTTAAACTGTGCCTCGGGTTTTATTCTGTAGTGACAGGATCAATATTGACACAAATAATCAGTGCTAAATTTGATTAAAAATGATTGTGAAATAATATCATCAAATAGATCCACAATATTTAGACCTTCTTAGACCTCCATGATGACTTAGTTTAAAGTGAGAAAGAAGGGAGAAGTGCTGCTCCTCTGTCTGTGGGGGATAGTGGGGGACAGTGGGGGAGAGGGGAAGGAGGCTAATCATTTGAATAATAAAAAGGAAGTTTAACAGACATATTGTATATTGAGTATACTGTAATAATCAGTGGTGCATGTGGGGATTTAGACTGTAGAAATTTAGTTTAAAGCATAAAAGTTGTTTAAATCATTCAGGTTATTGAAAACATAATGAAAATGATGTGATTTTTATAACTATATCAACACAAAAACCCATTCACAACATAATGTACAAAAACATTAAACCAATTAAAATCATGTGACTAAAACTGTGAATTGATTGAACTGATTATTGTAAATTAATTAATCTCAGGTCTCGTGAAAATTTGGTCTCATCCCACCCCTAATATCTGATACAAATTTATTTTTCAGCTCTAGAACTGTGTATAAAATTTAGATTTTAAATTTCACATGACCTATATGTGTCCTCAGAAATGAAGTGAACATGTTCAGATCGTATTTGACATCATGTTCCATTTGTTATAATTTGGTGTTTTGTTCTAAAGAGAGTTTCCAATGCGCCTCATATGACTCTCTCATTTGTGTTGCCAGGTTCAATGCTGAAATCCAGTTGGTTTACACCTAAAATTTCTCTCTGATATGAATGGTCACTCCCTAAAGTCCAGCACCTGCACCAGTCATGAGTCAGTGCTAGTGCAGCTTCTTCAGCTCAAGGAGGGAATTCTGGAGGTTTTGAGCTTTCACATGAGGCCTGGTATGTCCATATTTCTGAGAAAATAAATGTATGTCTATTTTCAGATTTAGAAACTGCATGATCAACAAAGTTTAGATGTGATTTAAGACAGTAATAGTGCAGGCAACTAAAAAAAACTCCTTAAACGATCTGTTTTGCAGACAGAGAAGTTTTTTTAATATATAAATATATCCGTAATAATAAATTAAGCACACATTGATACGGCGTGTCACGTGAGCGCTCAGGTCCTGAAGTTGGATGAAAAGCGCTCACCCCGCTCTATTTGAGCTCAAATAAAAGCACATAGCAGCCTACAGAGTTTTTACAAACCTCATCTGTGCTGAGGATGGAGGACTGCGACGTTTTCTCACGGTCTGCATTTTCAGAGCGTTTCAGTAACTTATTATATATTATATTTTATATTCAAAATCCAAAGTAAAATGCCTCGAGTAGTGGCATCCTCTTCACTCGTGATTTACTTCCTTGTTTATCCCGTTAGCTCCGCCCACTCCGTCGTTCTACCAATAGGGTAGAAGTCACGAATATAAGAATATAGAAACCACGTGCATATGGCCACATGCGACTGAATAACAGCAGCGGAGGTCATCCCAAGATGGCCGCCGCCCGTTGCTCACGTACGACTGAGCAACAGCAGCGGAGGTCATCCCAAGATGGCCGCCTCTCAGACACAAAGCCAGAGATGTTTATTATTACACATATTATACATATATATTTTAGATGTAGCCAGAGCTCTAATCAACGAAGCAGGAAAAATGATGATCCATTCACAATTAAAGCTAGCAGCCCATAAATGTAGCAGTTAAAGCCCAGTTACAACTACAAAATGAAATGGACGTTTATGTGGATTATAGCCTATTTCAAACAAAATATAATATCAGAAAACTAAAGTTTCCAATGATTTCAGTCCTTGTCATTCATAAATTATTAGTTTAAATCCGTTTTGACAGAGAACTGTTAAGTGTAGTATGCATAAATGGCCACTTGAGGGCGCACAACAGCGGCTCTATGTATTGATATGGTGAAACTTGTTGCTATATAAAAAAAAAAAAAAAAGTCTTATTTCTTAGAATAAAAATTCTAAAATAACACTACTGTATAAGGCATTTACATAGTGGCTGTTGATACAAAGTCTAAAATATGTGGAAAAGTGAGAGAAACGTGGCTTTTGGTGGACCTCTAATTGCACTGATTCTTATGGTAAAATGTCAAGTGTCCTTGCCTGACCAACCAGAACCTCCTACCATCTTGTTCAGTATTGCAAAAGCGAGTATGGTCTTGGCTGGTCAGGCAAGTGTCCTGCACTGCAGGATTTTGACGCAGTATCTTTTATTAGTCCTGAGCGCCATGGGTAGCGTAACCAAACTAAACTAGCATTGTTTTAGCAAGCTGGTAAGATGGTAGTAGTAATAGTAAGCAATGAAAAAGTGAAGCTGCCTTACAAAAATGTAAATAAAAAATAAAAGCAATGCAGCTTTAGTCGATGCATGAGCTAAATTGATCAAATATGTTTATTTTGTAATTCCAAATGTTCTTAAACGGGCCGGTCAGAGTCATCCAAAGGACCGTGTGTGGCCTCGGAGCTGTACAATGCCTGATTAAAGATATAAGATTAGAACAATTATACAAATTTCACTTCATTTTCAATCTGGTCATCTTTTTGGTAAGATAAACTTTATTATCCCTGTAACCAAATTTGTCTTATTGTCTTATATGTCTGCATTTGACCCATCTGTTTTCATCCCTGTTTTCAACACATAGTGACACCCCACTGGAGTTCATTACAACAGGAAGAATTGTAGGAATTACACTTTATTATAATATTATAATCATTTATTATCAAATGATAATAAACTTGATTGATTGTGTACTGTGTTGGATGTGCTGGGGGAGGGCTTTCTTCTTTTCTTTGTGTGCTGGTTCCAGATAGATGGTGTTAATAACATTAATAACCAATATAAAATAAATCCATTTTCATTTTTTTATATTGTATATATTGTTTGCATATACGGTCTATGATTGTTTGTATGTTAATTAATAAATAAGTAAATTTAAAAAAATTAAAAAAAAAAAAAAAAAAAAAAAAAAAAACGAAAGTAAACAGAACCCACGCTACTCGGGCGCGTGATGCTGGGTCAGGTTGACGCATACGCACTTCACAAACTAAGTTCCAGCAAAATCCGGGAAAATACGTTTTAAACTTTGAACTTTAGATAACTTGCATGAATTATGTCTCTCTCTTAGGCTACGTTCAGACTGCAGGGCTTAACGCTCAATTCCGATTTTTTTTGTGAAATCCGATGTTTTTGCGAGGTCGTTCACATTTCCAATTAAATGTGACTTGTCTGTGATCTCCAGTGTGAACATTAAACGGCCCGAAAGTGTCCCACATGTGCACTGGAGACACGATTACGTCAACCGCAGCGAGTGTGCTCCGTGTTTACGGTGTTCCGGATTGTCTGGCGATCAGTTTAACTGGTAAAGGCGGGGCCACATCTGGAAGCATGGGGGGGCGTGTCCTCTCGGCTTCCATTCACTCCCATAGAGACACAAAACTGCCAGAGCTGTATTTCGCCTTCTTCTTTAATGTGGCGTATTATTTCCCCATTGAAAAATAATCCAAATGTATCCAGCACATGTTCCCATCAAGACCTGGCGTTTGAAAAAACAAACGTTGCTCTTTACTGCAGCGCATGAACGCGCTCAACCACCTGATCTGGTCGCTGCTCCAGACGCTCCTATAACCAAATAAGTACCATATCGCTATGTTTTATAACAAATAAAAAATGGTCAAGCACAAAATGCTGCCCGTGTCTTCACTGTCATGAATGTAGTGTTTGTGTTATTTTTTTATTTTTGTGTATTGGCTTATATAATGTGCCTAGTTCACACAATTTGCAACCAAAATAGGGAATGACTCATTGGATCTTTTTGACACAATCACCCAGAGTGAAATCTTACACTACATCTTGCTGTGAACACAACAGGTAGACTACATCTTCTGCTTCCAGATCCAGATGTGGTGGGCGTGTCCACTCAGCTGTAGATGCGGTGGGGCGTGCACCTTAACCACTTGATCTGGTTGTCGCTGCGCTGCGGCTGCTGCTGCTGTAGACGCTCCATGTCAACAACTAATATGATTCTTGTGCTGTCTTTCAAGTCGCAAACTTGCCGATAAAAATACTCAAAGATAAACTGGTGCCAGTCCTGTTACTCTCAGGGGTCTGCGTGTGTAGCGATAGGCCTATATTATATGTACATATATGCAATGTGACATTTCACACAATTTGCTGCCTTAATATGGGTCTAAAGTAGGATAAAACCAGATATAAAACATCTTGCTTGTAGACTACAGGTAGACTACATCGCCTGCTTCCAGATCCAGATGTGATGGGCGTGTCCACTCGGCTGCAGATGTGCGTGCACGTGCCTTAAGCACTTGATCTGGTTGTTGCTGCGCTGCGGCTGCATACAAGCCTTTTGGACTGGAGGCTTTTTGTAGTCACTGAAGTTTATATGTTCATTGTGTAGTGTTTTTCAGTGATCTTGATACTAAAACATTCTTGTCTGTTTCTGGTCAGATGAATGTATATTCTGTATCACGAAGCATATAATAAGCAAACGCAGTCACATTTTTTATTTATTCTAGACCAGCCAATTACACAGGGCAACAGTGCATTAGGGATGACAAATACGGAACGTGTAAAAGACTTGGCCTATATGATAGTTATTTCTTTTGTACCTGACTAAAAGGATTGGGAGCATGGTGCACGCCCACCACATCTGCAGCTGAGTGGACACGCCCAACACATCTGGATCTGGATGCAGGCGATGTAGTCTACCTGTTGTGTTCACAGCAAGATGTTGTGTAATATTTCACTCTGGGTGATTGTGTTAAAATGATCCAATGAGTCAGTCCCTATTTTGGTAGCAAATTGTGTGAACTAGATCATTGTACACATTATATAAGTCTGTACATGTCTACACAAACACAACATTCATGACAGTGATGACACAGACAGCATTTTGTGCTTGACCATGTTTATTTGTTACACGACATAGCGGTATGTCACCTGTTATAGGAGCGTCTGGAACAGCGACCAGATCAAGTGGTTGAGCGCGTTCATGCGCTGCAGTAAAGAGCAACGTTTGTTACTTCAAACCCCAGGTCGTGATGGGAACATGTGCTGGATACATTTGGATTATTTTCCTATGGGGAAATAATACGCCACGATAAAGAAGGTTTAACGCGACAATACAGCTCTGGCAGTTTTGTGTCTCTATGGGAGTGAATGGAAGCCGAGAGGACACGCCCCCCATGCTTCCAGATGTGGCTCCGCCTTTACCAGTTAAACTGATCACCAGACAATCCGGAACACCGGAAGTTGTCCAAACATGGACGCAGCATTGAGCACCTGGAGATTTTAAAGTTCCTCTCGTACCAGAGCCAGAACATGAACAACTTGCTTGTTTTAAGGAGGAGATTGAGAAGGAGAAGGACGAGGTTTTTGGTCGTGGTGTTTTGTGGGACAGCGGCAGTGACGTCCGTTGAAAGGAACATGTGGATGTGGAGACGGAGCCAAGAGTGGTGAGTGGTGATGTGCTTCACTTCAGTGACACTGAGTTCATTAACAATTTTCGCCTACTTCAGTGCAGAATAGTGACGTTTGTGGCTTGTTGATAATGTGTAGGTCGAATAACTGCGCTTTGGCCATTCAGACTGAAGTCACATGTCAAAAGATCAGATATGTATCAGTTTCAGGAGCACATATCCAAGTGTCCTGGGTCACATTTGAAAAAACTGGATCTGTGTCGTTTAGACAGTCATTAAAAGATCAGATACAGGTCACATACAGGCCAAAAAATCGGATTTGGGTCACTTCAGGCTGCAGTCTGAACGCAGCCTAAATTCCGTCAAAATCCGCGAAAATACGTTTTAAACTTTGAACTTTAGATAACTTGCATGAATTATGTCTCTCTCTTAGTTCGTAGTCTGGTACTGTAATGGGAATTGGTTCGTTTAGGATAATCTCGCAGACGTTTATGACAAAACTTTTAAATCTATAGCGTATTGTGTGAAATGTCTGTAGCTGAGAGGAATAACATAACAGAAACATGGGAGGTAAGAACACTAGATAACTGTCCATGTGTCTTAATATTGTAGAAATTTATTTGCATTATGCTAAAGAGCAGCATGCTACGAGAAAATTCATTTAGTAGTAGTAGTAGTAGTAGTAGTAGTAGTAGTAGTAGTAGTAGTAGTAGTAGTAGTAGTAGTAGTAGTAGTAGTAGTAGTAGTAGCAGTAGTAATTATATTTTTTCTTCTAGGTCTGTGAAGGAAAGAAGCATGTCTTGTATATTGGCATTTCTTGTGGATTATCAGTAAGTAGTGGGAAGAATAGTGAATGGACGCTGGTGTTACTTAGGAGGCCACATATTTAACAAGGTGGTACTTC